TAAACATCGCGGAAAAAATAAGTCAAGAAGAAGCTCAAGATTAATTGCTTATTAATGTCATTGGTAAGATTAATAATGTATATTTAGTATGCTTTAATTATGTTGAGTGGATCGGGTTCGCCTTGGAGACACTTCCTGCTGGTGCATTCTCGGCACCCAGCGCGCCCTGGCGCAGTGAAGGGGACCCGCCTGCAAGTCTTTGTTCACTGTATGTTGCAAAACTGGTCTTTGACCTTTACCGTTCTAAATAGACTTAACATTTCAAATATATACACTTTACAAAAGATAACAGTAACGACATTTGAATAGAAGGTGAATATTTTGCAAGTGCAAATTTCAAACGCACAACCAAAAATAAAATAATACGATCACCATCTAAGTAATACCTAGTTAACTACTTGTATGTAATGGAAACTTGAAATGAAAATTAATAAACAAGACCTAGTAGTTAGACCTTCTAGTGTCTTTTCTACTACTAGTTATGTGGTAATATAAATAATAAGGATTTTGTGTTTTATAAAAAGTAAAAACATTTTATTGCTTATTGAAAGTCGACAAACATGCCGATTTAAACCAAAAATTTTATAGAGCAACTTAAAAATGTGCCTAACCTGCCAAGCAGGTATTTATTTATTACGAGATTGATTTTGGATTCGTTAGGCAATTATTACCTACAAGGTGAGGTAATTTCGGTTTGGCAGTCGCCTAACCTAACCGGTTCTCGCATTACTTACTCGACGAGATTGAAAGTATAATATGGTGACATTTTAGTCGTCTGCTAAAATGCTATTTTTATATTTTTGCTTCGCTAAACTAGAATTATTTTTCTAAGGACCTTTTAAATGTCATGTTCTTGTAAAAGGACATAATATGTAGATTGTTGCTAGAATAAATAACAAACAGAAGCACAAACACAAGTTTCTAAATAGTAAATAGGTACCTATTCTTTTTTACATCATGGAAATGGGAATCCCATGGAACTTTTGACCGTCTTTAATAAACATGCCACCCAGTCTTTAATTCCCAAACTCATATATTATATGAGTTTGGGAACAATCTGGCCATCGGCTCCCCCGGACCGGTGCAGTGGGTAGGTGTACATATATGCAAGTTAATGGATTTTCCTGACGCAAAGAAACATCTAGGAATATCACTCTCTGGCAGTGCGCATGATGTGGCAAAGCTTTTCCTAAGGTCCTAATTCCATTGTTTTTCCCAACTGCCATATTAACTTGGCAGGTCAGCGTGGTGTTGGGTACCTACCCTAAACCCTACCCATATACGCGGATAGTATCCCGCATTACGTTTACGGGATACGTTTTACTACCCCCAAAAACGAGTCGAATACTAAAATGATTAAGTTCATGAAGCCCTGTAGCTTGTAAAACAGATTGTATAAAATAATAACAGACACTATTTTTGGCTTAACTGTAAAAAAAAACTCATACTTTCAACCTTATTCAACAACGATTTGCGTCTGGGTGTGCTGGCACTATTATTAGGTATGTGGTTCTGGGAGGATTCGTATTTCGTATCATCATTTAAAAAAATATTTCTCCAGATTTTTCCCAGGCGCAAAAATGTCGTCATTTTGCCTTCATAACTTGGGATTGGTTTTTTCCACGGACTTTTATAGCGTTTTGGTTTTGCTTCGTTCGTTTCAGCCGAAAGACGTCCACTACTGGGCAAAAGCCTCCCCCAAGGATTTCCACAAATGCTTACAACAATCAATAAACATAAATTACAATATACGAGTACCTACTTAGTTCCATGCTTACCTACCTACCATTAAGTAATTCTAGGAAAAGCTAATGTAATATAAGTAGTTAAGTTGGTTGTACCTAGGTAGGTAAAGTAGTAGGCCTAATTATTTTACTTGTTATGGTCATGGTGGTTATAGTATGGTCATTAGGGTAGTTAAATAGACAAGTCGGATTAATCGTTATCTATTTCAGTTTGAGACCTTTACCTGCGGTTTTGGCGCGGTATTTGATACGGCATCGCGGCTTAATAACTTCCTAGCTTCAAATATTATATAATAATAATAATAATATCGTTTATGTCGTCAAAGTATCCTAAACGAATAATGTGATACGGTCTACGTTATTGGAATTCAACATTAAAATCAGCAAAATGGTAAAAGTCAAGATTCAAGGTGAGCGAGCGGGCCGGCGCGGCGACGGGACGCGTCCGGTTCACACTGAATTTTAAAGATCATTGGACATTTTTGTCACTGTTTTGAACAAAAGATGTATCTCTTTGATTATTAACCTTGGCAGTAAATAATTAAATCTTATCTTATTGAAAAGGCCTAATTTAACATTAGATAAAGGTAAATGTTTTCTTGTAAGCCCTTGAAAAAGCCCGATAGCGTAGTGGCGCTCCAAAATTTTCCTAAGACGCTGTGGTTCTTTTACTGAGCCCCGATTACGGTAATTTTAAACGTCAACAATCCAGACACGCTTCTCGATTCTGCGATACGATTGGTCAAAACAGCTGACGTACGCTGTTGAACGACCAATCGTATCGCAGAATCAGAAGCGCGTCTGGATTGGAAACGTTAAAAGTTACCGTAATCGGGGCTCTGGTCGGGTCATAATAGGCTTTCGCGCCATCGCCGACACGATCTGCACGCGTTCCATTGATTCTTTTCCAGGGCCTGGCTCCTGACATTCAATGTCACAGACCATTCTGGGAGTGGAAGCTGATAAATTCGTTGGTTCGAAGATGGCTGTACATACTGGGAAACATCAAAATCTCTGCCAAAAATGTAATTTTAAGGGTGTATCTTCATTAGATTCTTGTATTTTTTTAGCATTACCTCCGATAAAGTTGTAAGGATCACTATCTTGCACTGTATCTATCTCCATGCAGTGTAGTGTAGGTATCAAATACGCGCTCTTATGCTAAATTAATGTAACATAGGTAAATTCTATTCATCTGTCGACCAACTTGTCGGACGTTTGGTGTAGTGGCGGACTAGGTACTAAACTACTAAGCCTAGAGGTCCCGGGTTCGATTCCCGGCTGGGCAGAAATTGAAAAAATAATGAATTTTAATTTCTATGATGGGTCTGGGTGTTACCACAAATGTTATACAGGGTGTTAGGTAAATGGGTATATGAGCCGACACTAGCCCATGTTAACATCGTCATATAAATGGTATGGTGAAGTCAGAAAATTGATATCTTCATTTTAATTATTTTATTTTTCATACAAATGGGATTTAATAAAATTATTTTTGTATAAAAATTTAAAAAAAAAAAGATATTTCTGACTTCACCATACCATTTATATGACCATGTTAACATGGGCTAGTGTCGGCTCATATTATACCCATTTACCTAACACCCTGTATAAGGTATGTAATAATAGGTAAGTTATATAAACTCTGAGTAAGTTATGAAAGTTAATTATTACCTATTAATTACCTACCTACCACCACTGGAATATAAACTGTAAGTCTTTGGTCAGTCTGTAAGTTTACCTACCTACCTTTGATTTATTGGGAACGTGCGAAGTGGGTGGAAGGGGTAAAGAAAACGATCGCTGCGCTCGTCGCGGCACAAATGTGTAACATTATGGGCAAGGGAAGCAAACAAACTTGTCTTGTCATTGTCAATGTTATTTTGATTTTAATGTGATTGTGTTAATTTATTCAATTGTATTGATGATATTGTACATGTATGTTGTGTTTTAGTTAATTTACAGCCTCCAATCTTTTCCAAGAGTAATACTGTTGTAAAAGGTAAATAAAATTCAACTTTTGAAAAACATAACTGTTTTTTATTTTATAAAGTTCTGCACTTATATTATTATCATTATAATATTAAATTAACACTTTCTTATCAGTATCATTACTGCAACACATCCAAACATAAGAAGTTAGCATAAATTGGAGATATTTGACGTAATATAGATTTTGGTTCACACAGTCAGTCTTAGATACTGATCCAAACATATCTTGAAAATAGCTTCCTTTGGAATATTTACAAGCTACAAATTGACGAATAATGGGTTCTCCCCATTGTTGTTCGATGCTCGTTTTTAAATTAGGTACTTTGTTGTTAATGTAACATATTAAAGCAGCAACATGTTTGCACTTGCCGCTCTGGTTATAAACGCAGCTGCATTTTACTCCTGTACTCCTTGCATGATCGATCTGTAATAAATGCAATGAATATTAATTTTATAACTTTCTCTAAATCTTTAGTCATATTTATAGGTTAGGAGATTACTTACGTTTAAACTTGTTTTATAGGGTGTCGAGGTCACCGATGTTTGACGAATGATGGTGGCTCAATAAATAACTATTGCCATTAGTTCTCAGCTCTTCTACATTCCTCACATGCTCTGCTAGCACCACAATTTTTTCCCTTTTAGCTGAGTTTGGGGTTAGAAACTTATTGTGTGTTTTACACACTCAAAACCAGTTTTTATAATGACGTCCATTTCTCCATAAACAGTTTTTATCAAATCCCATTCAACGTACCACTTATTGTCTTTTAAAGTATATTTTATTTACCCTAATAAATAAAAATAAGAAAGCTGTTGTTATTTATTTTTTGACATATGCATGCCCCTTAAAGTTTCGTTGGCAGATGGCGCTAATGTCGTGCACGTTCCCAATACAGTGTGAGTCACGTTAAAGTGTACATATGAAAATAGATGAAACTAGACCTATTTTTATCGACAAAAAAGAGGTCAAAAAATTTTTGAGATTTTTTTTTAATTTTTTATCGAATTTTTTTTCTTCCAATTACTTATTGTAAAGAAAACGTAATAACTTTTAAACTAAGAGGCTCTCTGAATTTTTTCTTTAATAATTTGGACTAAATTTCATAGCTCTGAGCCTCAGACTAAGGCTCTGAGCGGAATTTTAAAAAAGTTGATATGATTTGACAACCATAGAGAAAAGTAATTTGACAACTTTGACATTGACTGAAGAAAGAAGCCATTTTGCTCGCTTGCTTGTGAATTGACATGAATGATTTACAAAATTAGCGATTGTTTTATTTGTTTTATTTCGGAATCCAAGTCCGGCCATAGAATTAGGCCACGTGTTATTATTACCAATCAATTGTGTACAAAGTCTACGCTATGTCCAAATCTGGAAATGCTTATAATGAAGACCTTTTCTATTACATCAAAGTGAGCGAAGATGAAGATGAATCTAATGCCGTTGAGATTCCCTGTGAAGTTGACGGAACTCTTCTCCTATCAACACTTGTTGCTCAGTTTCCCGGAGCATCTGGGCTTAAATACCGCCATCCAGATAGTAAATGTGTTCGTGGCATTCGGTTGAGCGATGGTAAACTGCATCCACCAAGTGAGGTCGGATGGGGCAAACACTTGTACATTTGCGTATTTCCTAAAGAAAACAAACGTAAAATGGAAGATGTCTCCCCTGAGAATTCAGCGGCTAAAACTAAGAGACTGGAGAAAAAACTTACATGTTCAGATTTAATTTGCCTTGGGCTGCCTTGGAAATCTACTGAAGAATCAATTAAACAATATTTTGAACAGTTTGGAGAAGTAGTAATGGTTCAACTCAAGAGGGATAAAAATGGATCTTTCAAAGGATTTGGATTTATTCGCTTTGCGACTTATGCATCTCAAATGAGAGCTTTGGCACAGAGACATAACATTGATGGACGATGGGTGGATGTCCGTATACCAAATTCCAAGGAAGGAGTGGTTCCTCAGATGCCTTGCAAAGTGTTTGTGGGAAGGTGCACAGAAGACATGACTGCTGATGATTTACGCGAATATTTTTCAAAGTTTGGAGAAGTAACCGATGTTTTTGTTCCTAGACCTTTCAGAGCTTTTGGTTTTGTAACCTTTTTAGACCCTGAAGTTGCTCAAAGTCTGTGTGGAGAAGATCATGTCATAAAAGGTGCATCAGTGTCTGTGTCTAGTGCTGCACCCAAGATCAAAAGCAAAACCAGCCACAACTGGAAAGATGAATCTTACAGCAACAACTGGGATGGTAACCGATCTGGACCTTCTGGAGGTTCCAACAATAATGGAGGAAATAGCAACATTGATTCACTCAATATGCAGAATTTAGGAATCAATCCTAATGGTGGACCACCAGCTAATTTTAATCTTCCCATTAGTCTAGTTGCGGCCGCTCTCAATCAAGCTGGTTGGGGAGGGTTTCTGGGTGGTCCTGGGGGCAACCAAGGCCCGAACAACTGGCAAGGTGGACCCCCTCAAGGAGGATCTGGTAAAAACTGGAATGGTAACCAAAACTGGGGTCAAAATGGACCACCACCAACTTGGAATCAACAAGGAGGAAACCAGGGATGGAATGGGGGTGGAGGTGGAAATGGTAAAGGCAACTGGAATCAAGGAAATTGGTCCAATGGGCCAGGCGGGTGGAATGGCAATGGCGGAGGATCTGGGCCCAACGGAGGGTGGAATAACAAACCCCAGACATGAGGTGAGCTGTGACAGTGGATAGTCATAACAGGGATGTTTGTATGGTATCCTGCATTAGTGTGTTTTAAGTGAATATATCTACTTAAATTAGTTTATTAATTTGTTTATTCAATTGTATTGTGAAGTGATATGGGATGTATCACGGAGAGTATATGTATATGTACATGGATGCATAAACCCCTTTAAAGATTGTATTAGATGTAAGGTGACTAGAGCTGAGTGTAATTTTATGATGTGGATGATGAGATTTATTTAATAAAATTAAGTAAGTAATATGAGATGGATGTTTTTATTTGGTCGTAGTAAAAATTTGTGGTTACTGTTCTATTTGGGTGTGCAAAATGTGAGATGAAATTATTTGTAATTTATTTTGTTAAGGAAAACTTTTATATCTAGGACAATATCGCGAGGTATAGAATGAATGATAAGTTTGTTTGAGAATGTGAATTTTTAAAAGTATATTATAAGAGAACGGAGATTGGGCGCCTTTTGGGTGGTTGAGGAGCACTACTGTGAGTGCTAGATGTGCCTGTACAATGATGACCCTGAAATGTACTACACCTGTGCAAGTGGATTATTGTCCTGAAAAGCAGCATCTAAGGGTGAGTGAGCTGTGGGGTTGTGGCAATAATAACTTATGACCTAAGAATGAATTATGTAATGATTTGTGTTCTTTTTGTGCAGTAGCAAAATCATTTTGTGGCTTGTCAAGAATGCTAATATTGTGGCAGAGTGATACAGTGATACTTGTATGGTAACCATGATTTTATAAAGTTATTAAATTAATATTAATTATCAACTAGTTTGTTTACATTTAATTTTCATCTAAATAATCCATAAAATTCCACTTATTATCATTAATGTAACTTTCATTGGTTTTTTTTTTTCAAGTATTGTATAACAATAAACTTATTGGACCTCTATTTCATTCCAGGCATTTAAAGCAGAATTGCTGGAAAATCAGTTAATATCCAAGAGGACTTCTAGGAAATTGTGGAAAAAAACTCAAGAAACACACTTTGTAAGGAATGGTAAGAATTTTTTTTATTGTTAATTTTTAGTATTCTGATGCTAAATATCCTGCCAAATAAAGAGCATCGCTACTTCTAAGCGGATGGACCGATTTAAATGGAGGTTTTATTTTATCTGAAAGCTAGAATTGCCTTAGTGGTAGATAACTATGAAAAAAAAGTAAAATCACCTCTTATCGCAATAAATAAATAAACGCATAGGGAACTACGCGAGTTTGTTAAAGTGTACACATATTGTAGGTACGGACACTAATAGCTTTGTTAGGCCTACTGTCCACCAAGGAGCACGGAGGCATAATATCCACTTACACCAAGTGTTGACCAGAGCCCCGATTACGGTAATTTTTAACGTCTCCAATCCAGACGCGCTTCATCGATTCTGCGATACGATTGGTCTTAACAGCTGACGTACGCTGTTTTGATCATTACGCTGACCAATCGTATCGCAGAATCGATGAAGCGCGTCTGGATTGGAGACGTTAAAAATTACCGTAATCGGGGCTCAGGGCCCCGATTGCGCTAATTTGTAATGTCTCCAATTCATTCGCGTTTCATCTCCAGTTGCGTGCGACTCGCGCTCCTTTTTCATATGTGCCGCCCGTGCCACCCCGGCCCCCAGCTAGTATGTTCGTCGTCCAATCGCATTGCAGTTGAAAATTTTTACCGCAATCGGGGCCCAGACTTGTAAGGCCTCAGCCTCGAGTTTAGCAGACCCGTTCTCGAAACAAGCGGGCAGCTCGCGCGGCGCTTTAGCGGCGAAGTGTTGAACGGCGAACAACAGCGACAATTTTATTTCGATTCAAATTTATTCCTAGCGCTCGATTTATTGTGGGCAAAAGAAGGAGTGCGCTGCCCGCTCAAGCGCCGCTGCCCGCTCGTTGCCCGCTCCGGCGCCGCTGCCGCGCCGCTGTTTTCGAGAACCGATCTATTTGATTTTACGCATAAGATCCTGCCGCTCCCGCGCCGCTGCCCGCTAAGTTCGAGGCTGAGGCCTAAAGCGTAAAAGATTAGGCTGCCTGTCCACAGAAACGTAGCGAGGTAGATAGCATAGCGGAGTGGTGAAAAAAATTCACCAATAAAATTGCATACAATTTTCGCTACTAAATTACACGAAACCGGGAAGCAGAAGGGAGAAAAGAGCGCAGCCACTTATGGAAATACAATCTGCAACTCTGCTTCGCACACTCGCTCCGCTCCGCTACTTAGCTCCGCGTCTACGGATAGATACAGTGTGCATTTTGAAAATCATATCTCGAGTTTACAATTATTATTATTATCGGACTTTACTTTCTCTACTTACAGATCGTCGCGTCAATTATGCGATAGGTTGCCTAGGACGACGAAAAGCTGAAAGATGTAACAAACAACAACATGATGGAGCAGCAGAATGGTGATGTTCAGAAATCTGCTTTAGAAAGCGAAAACCTGACTATGGACACATTTAAATCGGTTTGTGTAAAGCGTGAAAAAGTAGTAGGATTAATATTTGAATAAATGAACACTAACAAAATATATTTCTGAATATTTATTTTGAATTTATCGGACAAATTAATCATTAATGCCAGCTAGTTACTTACATGTAATTACTGCCATTGAGTTAAAAAACAAGTCTTTCAATAATAATTGACGAATAGCTACCATTTTATTACACAAAAATATTATTACAACACCTACATTAAGGTTGCACTCATGTCTCTTGCTTCCTTTCCTTTCAATGTTGTTTAATTTAATTACTTAACTTAAAAGTTTGCTTTCGATACTTATTATATACAGTACGAGTACGTATTACGTATACTTTATAGACAAAAGAGCTATGCTCGTCTTTGGAGTTTCTTTTTCCATTTAATGCCACCTCTCAAGTGCGACAATGTCTTTATCCAACACTTAGCGCAACCCTAAGCAGACTGTAAAATTATTATAGCAGTACATTAAGATATTCATTACAATCTATAAATTTAAATAACAAGAAATCACGTGAGATCTATGATGAGGTGAGGCAACTTAATATCAACCTCTGAAGAATCGCATGTTCCTATACATAGGTAGGTAGGCCTACTACCTATCTATTGGAGGGAAGTTCTTTTTTTCTTCGTATGTTTTGAATAACATTATAAAATTGCGTTCTGGATTTCAAATCATCACTGAAATGAATTTAATATTATGACGATTAATTACTAAAATTGAATTACATTAAAGCTCACACTAATACACTCTCTCATCATTATAGTAGGTATAGTTAGCACTTATGTATTATACAAATTCATGGAAGTAGGTACAGATTGGTGTTACTACAATCTAATTATCACAAGCATATTTTATTACAGATTCTAATTTATCAAACTCGGGAGTTCCGCCAGGACGAAACACTGACTAAAAGTAGGGGAACCTGTTGTACTTAGGCCAGTTTTTCGAATTTTGATTTTTTGAAAAATAATGGTGATAGTTAAACTTGTCTAGTGCAGTTATATTTAAAGATCATTTAATTAGCTACATAATTCATTCATAAAATTGTGTATAATTTTAAAAATTTGGGCATACTAGCTGCTAGAAAAAAAAAGGGAAAACTGTCCTAGGTACAACAAACCAGGTGTACCTTGGACCGTGTACGTTGTACCTATTTAAAATTAAATAAATGCTTATATTCGCTTCAATTTGTTAATTTTCTGTTAAATTATTATTTGAAATACCAATTATTACAGTTATTAGCAACAATATCTGAGTAAAAGTATTTTTTAAAAAAGATCCTCATCCATATTTTTTGTACTAATTATTTTTCACAATTTTTTGGCAACAAATCACTTAAGTTTAAGCCGGCTCTCCAGTCCATGTTTAGCCTTACACAATCAACAAAAATATGACAATATTCAACCTTTTTTTTAGAAAATTTTGTTGAATGTTGATATGTTATGTCGTGTAGGACAAAATACGCGCTGGAGTGGCTTTAACTTGCAATCTAGTTTTTTTTATTTCTTATCATTTAACATAAATTCTAGCAAAATATCTATTAAAACCGCTTTATCAACAAAAATAATCTTAAAAAAGTCATATGAAGATACATTAAACGTAAATTTAAAAAACATTAGAAATTAAAAAAATATATATCAAAAACAGACTTTAAATTGCTATTTTGAGGTCTTCGGGGCATTGTATCTATAACAGTATAATATGTTTTTTTATTACAATAAAATTCTCATTAAAACGTAATGAAAATCAGTGACCAAGGTACATCGCTAGTTGGGTGGTCAAGGTACAACATTGCGACTACTTCACTTAATAAGCATAATAAACTCACTTCCATTTAAGCTTAGGATCTGAAACTCATATCGTCCAGTAGCTAGATATATAAAGATTATGTTCTAACTATAACCGTTTTGTCAAACATGCAACATTTTTCATAAATTGACATGAAGTAAACCTCCAAAAACTCACTGCGTCAGTGTAAAATATTAAATTACCATTTTTTCTTGTATTTGCACGGCGTCGGCGAATCTTAGCTAACTTCACGTTAATGTTGACAAATAACGTATGTAATACCCTAGACAACTTTTCATAAAACCGCATAATTTAAAAAATATATACAATTGTTTTAGGTACAACTCTGTCCAAGGTTCAACAGGTTCCCCTATACCTAAGTCTTAAGTTAGTCAAGATGTGAGTGAGGTAACTCTTTTTCAGCGTCTCACAGACTACCTACATAAACCATCAGCCTCGTAGTATTGCAAAATATATAACCTTATCGTTGTGGTATCTAAAGGATATCTCCTCCAACATTGGGCCATTGGACACTACCAATGACAGAGCCATATACAACGTTGTTCTGCTTATGGTTCTGCTATTAGCAAACAACGACAAGACCGCTATTGATTCATACGAAGTAAGGCGTAATAAAAATTATGTATGGGTATCATTATACAATTTTCAGGTTTATACAAATGTAAAATCATCATTAATTCTTACTCGTCCTCAAGAAAGATGCTAGCAAAAGTTAATTGCCTACGACTAAAAATTTAATTAATTTGAGTATAAATAAACTATTTTTAATTGTAAAAATTCTAACATTTAATTTTTATGGCTGTGGTATCTTATAAACACTTCTCGCCGTTAGAGGCTGCCAAAATTAAAACGTTTCAAGCCCTTCTTTTTGTCAAATAGAGCACGTAACTACCTCTAGCGCCTACTACCTTCACGTCACGACTCACGACGAGCCACGTACAGTAGCTGGGCTTATTCCACTATTCCCCGTTGACAATCCCCGTCAACGGGGTAGCTGGTAGGTACAGCAGATATCATTCGGCACTATAGCGCGGCGATGGAATGCAGCACTTGTGCGTTTAAACAGGCGCTAGGAATCAAAATCGTAACCTCGACCGCAGCCTTACTGAACTGCCCATACTGAAGCTGTGCGTAGGACCGCAGTACTTATTATTATTCTGTGGTAGGACTAGGAACATAAATAAACTATTGTAAGGAGAAAGTCGGTAATGTAGTAATAATTAACATAAGTATAGTAAATACACATTAGTGATAACGTTTATTACGAAACAGATCACATATTATTTAGAGTAAATGCCATTGATTCACACACTTGCACAGTAGTGCTTATGTTGGTACATTTAAGTAAGAACATGAAAGCTTCAATCGGCAGGATTTTCAACGATTTTCAATAGGTATACTAGTAACAAAGAAAGAGTACATGCGTCTGTGAAGTAGAAATATGCTGTATGGAGGCTGTGTATTGTACCATTTCCTTCTTTAAATTAGTGTAATACTACTTTGTGGAGGCCTGTAGGGTAAGATCGAGAATACGCTATTCTTTTATGACAAAGGATATCCGATAGGAGGCAGTGCATATAGAACATTGGAGCCAACAAACAAAAATTAGAGCCCGGAGCGTATTACCTATCTCTTAGTCTGCTGGGACAACTCCGGGCTACTTCGTAGGTTCAGATCAAGCTATCCCTCAGAAACTGAGATTGCTGCATGAGGGACAGCGATAGATGCACGAAAATAGGGAACACATTAGGGAGTAGTAATCCCGCAGTTATGCAGAGGTGCTGAAGAAACTCACGACGCGACTTCCCGAACGCTGGTGCGGTGATGGTTCAATCCAGTGGCGGCGTAGCATGGCTTGGCACCCGGGGCGGTCACCCCCCCCCCCCCACATATATATCTCGGGGCTATGGCACCCCAGAATGGTCAGGTCTGGTACCCCCCAGGAGTTTTGGGTTACCGACTTGAAGAAAAAAGATACGAATCAGCTATAATGATACCAATCGCACCCAAGTATCATAATCTTTGTCATGCAGATGCGCCAGTGAGTACTAATCTGCGCGACTTTTGTCACCCCCTGATGCTTGGCACCCGGGGCGGACCGCCCCCACCGCCCCCCCCTTACGCCGCTACTGGTTCAATCAATAGGTCAAACAATATTTGAATCAACATTTTTAAATGAAATAAAATCATAAGTATTGGGTAAGAGCTTTCCCTTTTTCATAATCGTTATTTGGTATAATGCAAGGAACTATTTTTTTAATACAATTTAATAGACTACACTGGATCGCCTGCATCCTCGAGGCAAAATTACAGGATCACGCAAAATGCGTGTGTATGATGGCATTATTGATTGCTAAGAAAACCATTAATCATGAAATATTTATTGATTGGTGAATTCCTATCAACCAATCTTCTCTAAATACATTAGTGGGTTCAAATGGATAGTAGAGCAATACCAGAAACTTGTATGTAAATATTTTACACAAACCATGCAAACAAAGGTACAGAATTTGATAAATAGCCATCTACTACAAGTACAAGCCCTCGTCTCCACGCGATAACTATCATTTTTTAATTATCTATAGACTTGTATAAGTAAATCATGACAAGGCTTTTGAAGCCAATTAATTATAAGACTAAGTATATGTACCAATATTATTATATTCCAAGTTTGATTGCATAGTAATAATTTTCTTTAATCAACGCGAGTGTGACCTATTCGTCGAAGCATATTTAAATTACATTGCTATTTTAATACAACACGAAAAATCTATGTAAAATAATTCTCCAATTTATATCAATGAAACATTAGTATCAAAATATCATATTGTATTTACTAAGTATGGTGTAATTGTAATGTCCTGCGCTTTGAGTAGCTATACATGACACAACTTAATCACAGCTGTTCGATTAATCAAATAGAATCATAAGTTTAATTACGAGTTAAGAAGAAAATACTGAAATTTTCTACAGTCAATGAGGTGGAATTTGTATGGGTATTTTATACTTTTAACTTTTTGGCGGGCCTCAGAGCATAGTTGATTGAGACCTGGCGCTTGACGGCGGCGCGGCGCGGCGCGCGGCGGCCGTTCCACTCCGCCTGCACCTTGCACGCGAACTCATAATCGTTCTTCTCTTGCTCAATTATCTTCTCGATCCTTAACTGCTCCTGCACTATCTTCTTAACATCACAATTTTTCAATGGACTAGATAAATTCTTTACAGCTAAAGTAACCTTATTGTTATTTAATGCCTCTGGAATGAGCGGTGGACTGTTAGGTTCTTTTTTGGTTGATTTTTTGGAGTCGCTCCTTAAATATGGCTTTCTATCGGAACAAGCTTTTCGATAGTTGAGTTTAGCTTTTTTTGGTGTGGTTTCATTGTCTTCTTTTGTTATGCTTCCCATGGATCTGGTCCGCCGAAGATTTGTCTCTGTATTTAATTTGTTAATACCATCTATTGTGTTTTGTTTATTTCTACTTGAGGTACTTTTCTTCTGTGGCAATGTTGGCACAACGCGTGAGTTAGGAGTTCTCTTCATTTTAGACCTCGTGTTTGTACATTTTGCAGGTACTTCCTGTAAAAACAATAGCCAAAAGATAATTTAATATGATTTGATTAGAAGATTTAAAATTGTAGATTTTACTTTAAGTAATAATTTACGCACCTTTTTCACTTGCAACAAATTAAGTGCTATTACAAAAGCTGATGGCAAATTCTTTGCTAAGGACAAGTTACGGAGTCGGCAAAGACCTTCCAAGTACTGGGCGCGACTCGGAGGCACCTCATACTGCATTTCATCTGTTTCTCTGTCCAATCTTAGACCTGGCACACGAACTGGCAAACCTTTGCTTGAGTTGAAGCTAGAAAAAAATATTGAGTACTTATACAGGATGTCCCAAAAAGTACTGTCAAGCTAAAGCCCAGAGGTAGAACATCAGTATAATAATATTAGGATTTTATAGAACACAAAACCACTTGAAGTTAATCAGTACCTGGTTGGAGTTGTTCCTTCTATTGGTTTAAAATAGCACAGCTCCTGCCGCATTGAGTCCACACTGTCCGTTTCCAAGTTTTTGTTTTCTCCAATATTTGTTTTATGTTGTAGAATACCGGCACAAGGCAACGGTAGTGACACAAGTAGCGATTGTATACCATTTTTATTTTTTGATATTTTACTGTCTGTTGTGTCGGTACATTTATGCCCAGTTACAGTATCTTTCTGAAAAGACAACACAAATTATTTGAGTGTGTAGTAGAACTGCTTAAGGTACATTTAGAAATGTTTAAATACATAGTTTATAAATTACCATTTCTTTGACACCATTTTCTTTATTCCACAGGCCAGGACCAGCTTTTATTTTTTTGTCAATTAAATTTTTAAGCAGCTTCCCGTAACTTGGCACCAATTCAGGTGAAGTATGATTAGTTGCCTTTGCTGTAGATGCAATTGGAGTAGATCTGTCCGTACTAGAAGTATTGTCATCAGTTAATAAAGGACTACTGAAATGGAAATGGTTAAAAATGAATAAATAACAATAAAAACAAAATTACACATAATGTTAATTCAATTTGTTAAGTAAATAATTGACACTTACTTCTTACATGCTGTAATTTGTTTTTTAGATAGAAATTCGTCGATTTTGGCGACTCTGAGTTGTGGTTTTATTGTGCTGCATCTTAAATTTTGTCTTTTGTTTGTACTCTGCGGTGCTGAACTTTTAGGATTTTCACTTTGCATTTGTTGTGCTAAAATCTCATCTTGTTTCAAAGCTTCTAAATATTTTCTGTGTGCTTCCTCTTCTTCTTCTTGAATCTTTCTATAGAATTAATAAACAAATTGTATTAATCATTACAATGTTTAAAATATTTAAATAGTAAACTAAAGAGTTATAATATGGTAGTTTTTAAGTTATTGTGGTTTATCAATCTTGTTGACTGCAAATGTAAGATATAACTTCAGTTGAATAAGTCACATTTTTGAGGAAGTTCATCAATTTGTTTGTGTAATAAAAAATCTTACTTGATAAGGAGTTCAGTCTCCTGGTATTGTTTCTGCTCTAGTTGTAAGCGCTCTGCCTGTAGTCTTTTTAGCTCAAGTTCATATTCCTGTCTTATTTCCCCAGGGGCACTTAGTCTTGTTATTGGTTTCTCTGTAAAAATAGTACTTATTATATTAGATACAAAGCACGGGCTTAATTTAAAATTTATTATTGGTTTTGGCAACCATATTAGTTCAGATTCACTTGTTTTTTTTTGTAGTCAATACTAATTTTATTTAGTGTGAGTTCCTAGTGTACATACCTACTTAATACCTATTTACATAATACATAAGTAGTTCAAAGGGAAGGGGATTTCAATAAATAATGCCAATCAATAGAAAAGGACTATGCATAAACCCCCATGCAGTTTTTCTTCAGTAAATTTTCATTCGAAACTCATTAACAATTTTCATGTATCTGTCGCAGTCGGATTGTATAATCCGCCGTTTTACATTACCACTAGGCATTTTACATTACAGCTCTGTTTTGTAATACGGCGGTTCAACGTTTAGGCGGATTGTCATTGCGATACGTTCTTCAATACGGCGGCCCACGTATAGCCGCATCGTACTACTACTTAGATTGTAGGGTGACCATACTTACAAAATAAAACAATGTATAATGAAAATAAATTTTAATAAGACAGATTTTAAGAATTATTATCTTCGTTACTGTATACCCAATAATATATTTGGCTTCAGTATTTTTTTTTACTTATTTATAAATCACAAGGGATAGCCATCTAAAAAAAAGTAACTCATAACAAATAAACTTTTCTAAACATTTTAAGAATTAATTAGATAATTGGCTTTAGTCTTTTTTAGATATTAAAAATGATCACAGGGGACAGGTAACTCAAAACAATAAAGTCTTAGTCATTTTTTCTGGGTTATTTTTCTTTAAGATAAAATTATCTTCACCAGCCGNTTACTTTTCTCTATGAATGACACGCTGTTTTACATTACGGCTAGCCGTATTGAAGAACGTTTGGCGCCGAATACATTCCGGCGGATTTTCATTCAGCCGTATTCAATCCGGCTAAACGTTAAGCCGCCGTATTACAAAACAGAGCTGTAATGCGAAATGCCTAGCTGTAATGTAAAACGACGGATTATACAATCTGACTGCGACATATCCACATTGATATCCACCCTGTATGTTTGTGAATGAATGACAATCAGCTGACATAGACATCTGGTGAGTGGCACGAAACGGCAATAAAAAATCCAATTCGAAGACAAGAAGATCTAGTTTCTTAGAAAAATCGCAAAGAAAAAGGAATCTATGCACTCTTTTAGTAATAAATGATACAAATGCTATCGTTAAATCGTTCATTTCTCTTACCTTCTGGGATGACTACGTCTTCTCCTTTAGTCTTTGTAGCAATTTCATATGAAAATTTAGACTTGATATAATTCCAGAGCTCAACGTTCACTAAATTCTTTTGTTTTGTTGCTGTTCTAAGCCAAGATCCAATTCGTAGACGACACAGGGGACAACACAAAGCATTATTTTCTATGCTACCGTTGAAACAATTGTGACAAAATGCATGAAAACAGGGTAATGTTACAGGTTCTATAAGGATAGAGTGACAAATTGAACAAAAAACATCTTTTAACTCTAATTTATCCAATTTCAGTAACTTATTTTCAATTTTAGACAGCCGCTTCTTTGACTTGGCCGCCATTTTTAAACATAAATTTTCTGTCTCTGTCTAACTGTAGCCGTTTTACCCACAGATTAATAATCAACGCTCCTCCAAAGATAATACAAATGTATAAAGTACAATTTATTTTCCCCCGTTTTCCCCCCTTTTTTGGCTGGGACACACCCGTTTTATTTTGTAGGTTCAAAAATTTTTAATGCACAACAAGCATGGTATGCTCATGATTTATTTATTTAATTATAACTTAACGCACTTAGATCACAGTACATAAGGCGAACTTAATGTTATTCGGCATTCTCCTCCAGAACTAGATTGGACACATCAATTAAATAATAAAGTAAACTTAATTAACTGTAAATCGACTCGGTTTTTCAAACATCGTAACATTTTTTTCATCAATAAATAAATGAATCGATTTCATAACGGAAGCTCTTCATAAGAGAATCTTACTATGTTAAAAATAGTTAACAACTAAATAGTTAATAACTTTTTTAAAGAAAACGATTTTACTGTTTGTCTATGATTTTTTCTGTATGATTTTCAATGCTACCAACATTACAGACATAGAAGCCATGTTGATATTTTCCTTCTTTTTTCGTCATGTACCGACTCACATGTATTTGAGAACGAGAAACGATTACGAAGGAAACCACGAGAAATATGGTGGTCTCAAAACGTTTTTAGTTGGTGTTCTGTAATCTTGCAGATGTGGTGAAATTTTACAAATGTTAAAGTGTACCATTTGAAATCTATTGCAAGCTCGGGAGAAAACCTCGGAAATGTCTTCAATGCATTTTGTGGTTCATCCATTGCCTGGAACAGAAGATCAATTGATAGATAGGTAATGTATTTTATCGCTTTGCTTGACTCCATTTCGTTGTTATGAAATCCGACATTAGAAATGACAAAGATAAGTGCGATTATTGGCGTACCTCTGCCTGGGATTTAATTACCTCATCGGATAAAGCCACGTTTTTCATGGGAATATTTTCTTGACATATTATTTGCAAAGTACCTAGCTGCTGTATCATGCTGGTAGATTAGAGCATTATCGATACTTGTTTAGGCGTGAGATGTTTCCACATGAGATCCATACGTGATTAAAATTCTGATGAATTTGACGTTATTTTCAATCTCTTGAGATTATTGGTACAATCTGAGAAAAAAAAATTTTTTTTTGGTTGTTTTTATTTTATATCCATTACTCTGAATATAAGTATAATTTTGATTCTTTTGTTAGATAAATTATTGTTACTCCAACTTGATATGTACTACCTTCATTATCATTAAATCATAATTGCAAAATAGTACATTTTAGGAATCTTAATTTATTTTCTTCCATAAACTATTCAGTGCAGTTCTTATCTTATCTTTTATATTTACAAAATTATTGCCATATGAATCTAGGTTACAACTAAGTCCTTATGTAAAATTTACAGTAAAAAACATAACAAACCAACCTTCTGACGCAGTCGGGTAAAAACAAAGATACTTTGAATAATGTTGTGTAGGTTGTACGCTCCTTAGTTTTAAGTTTGCGGGGTAGTACATATTAAATTAATAACACATTGCAGTCCAATAAGGGTTTACATTTATTTGACAAACATAAACTATCAAAACGACAAAATTTTTAAGATTTCATGTTTGTACATTACACATCAGTTTTCATGTTACGATGACACACTGATACCTATAAAATTATTGTATTTGTATTGAATAGGCTCAGAAACTACTTCACCAATTTAAAAGATTTTTTCAGTATTAGACTCCAAATAAATTGTTTTTGATGATCATTTTTTATTTTTTATTATACATCATTATTAATAATTTGTTGAATACCTATAAACTACCTGTGCGAAGCAGGGGCGGGCCGCTATGATTAAATATTCTTGTATGGCTTTATTTTTATAGGCTTAACTTTTTGAGTTATAATTATGATTTTTCATTTGCAGGTCCGATTGTTAGGTTGGCTTTTTATTTTTTGTTTAACATTGTGTTTTTATAATTATTGCAGCATAAATGTTACTGATTACGAAATCAACCATAAAGCTTCTTAGTAGACACTCATTTGCTGATTATGTCATTTCTTAATTATAGTTTACAAAAGCTATTGAACATAATTTTGCATTTAAAGTTTGTACATACCTTAACAGAAAATAGTGAATTTTCAATTTTTTCATGGTGGACAATCAAAGTTTCTAAGATTTGATTTGGAAATAAATGCATCATCATAAAATTTTGTAAAATTAAATACTATTGTATTAACTACATACTAAGATAATTACTCCTGTCAATGGAGTTGCATATTAAGGATTAAATAAAATAGTATAGAAAACTGAATTTCACGCAGGTAACATTGAGACCAAGTTTGTTTGCCTCAGAAAGACTGATTTTAACACATTGTGGTAATTTAGAATCATCCGCCTGAATTGACATAGGATAGGTTATGCATAATAAAATTTGCCAAGGCTACATTATTTCTATATCCATAAATAACATAACCAGTAAATATTTTTGTCACTGTATAGGAAAAAAAAGCAAATTCATATTTAAGTCAATCTATGTAGAGTAATATTTATGCAATAAACATGTTCCCTAATGACTGGAATTGAAAGAATTAGTCAACATAACAAAATAATGTGTGCAAGTCCATTTTAAAATCAAATTAATAAATCACAAAAATACCATTAAAAGCCCACAAAATAAAGCATTTTGAAAAACACAATAGTTATTAATTTCAAATTCATTATGCTATGCTATAAATAAAGTACCATGGTGTGAGGTCATAACTACATGACTTTTGTACATGGAGCATTTTGGAATTTAGGTTTGGGTTTGGGATTATTAGAATCTCTGATCTCCATTTTTCATACACATTAATTAGGTACATTGGTTGAGAATAATTATATGACCTTAGAACTGCTAGAACTTAATTGCCTTCTCTTCATGCTTTTTTTTTTTTTTTTTTTGGGATGGACTGTCCCGCTGAAGCGCGCAGGGCGCCACGGTCTTCATGCTTTAATTTTAAATGGTAGGCATGATGACAGATCCTGAAATTTTAAGTATTGATTATTATAACAAAGTACAGATAAAATAGGATAATTTGTAAACTTTTAGTTTATTAAGTTGGGTGAGTAAGTCCATTACAGTTTCAAAAATAAAAACAAAAATACCATAAAAAACCCACACAATTGACATTTATAAATTGTGTGGGCTTTTTATGGTATTTCTATGGTATATACTAGAGATGAAACGGATATCCGGTAACTATCCGGTAGGCCGGATATCCGGCCTAAATTTACTATCCGGCCGGATACCGGATAGTAACTCACTATCCGGCCGGATACCGGATATTAAAAAACTACAACAATTTCCTAATTAATAAAATGAAATACATTAATCTTTAAGCTAAACATTAATAAAATGGCTTATAATAATGACGGCTTTTATTTAAAGTCCAAAAAGTCACAAAAAGTCATATTAAGGCCTTTAACAAAATATTCTTTTTCTGGACTATTCACTNTTTGATGACAAGGGGGGCGGGGGGGTAAAAAATGGTAAGAAATCTGCTTACGTAATACTTGAACGGCCCCTAAGTTGAAATATTGCCAAATAAAATAGGCGATCTTTTTTTCACTGATGGTTTGATGTTATGATGCAGTTCAGTCAGATTACACCACATTCACGATGGCAACCGAAATCGCCCGAATTGATCTGCCTCTAGACAAGTGGCAAAATCTGACATTCTATTCGGACTGATTCGAAAAGTGTGACTAGTCTAGTCTACTAATAGACCCACTGATCGCGTTCGAAGCACCTGTGCGGAGCTAAACTTGTCACGACATGCAACGAGACAATTGGCCAACTATCCGGCCGCCGGATATCCGGCTATCCGGCCTAGCAGTTGGCCGGATATCCGGTATCCGGTATCCGGCCAAACAACTATCCGTTTCATCTCTTATTTCAGTAGTTTCCAACATTTTTCACTTGCTGTTTTCTGTTTGCATGTGAACACTATAGATTACTTTTGTAATAATATATCAACTTGTTGTATTTCGTATAATCTTCAACGTTCCTAGCTATCGTAGAGACCCGTGTCTTTCTGTTTTAGTTGAAATGGAACGCGAAAGTTTAAAATCTTATATTATACAAAAGAATATGTTTTGCTCTAACCCTATTTATGTGACCAATCTGCTCCAGCTGTTGATTTGTATTGTCCGCAGCACAAACAACGCCAACAGCAAGCAGTACTTGGAGGCGATAACGAAGCACGTGTACGATAACCTGAAGATGTGCCAGCATTCGCCAGCTGTTCAGATGACCCATGTGCCAGGTACCTTCATTATTAATCTTAAAATTGGCTTAAAATTTATTTATTTAGTCTATGGGCCTTTTTCAGCACCCTTGTACAGTTGTACAGGGTTGTTTCCATGCGGTGATGGCATTGCGTTAAAAAAATAATAATAAGATTTTAGTTCTTGAAAGCTTCCGCAACGGGCGCTGTTCGTTATACATTTACGCAGTCGAAATCGAATGCGTTTGATATAGTACTCACACTATGCCCCTTTCCGCGAAAAGTAAATATGGATGTAAAATCTTTGTAGCTCGATGCTTTTACCCATTTTTGATCATTTCTTTTTCGACTATTTAAATTTTTGGTACGAACAAGTATTTGCATATTATTAGAGCGCTTTCACATTTAGGCTAGTTACTTTAGCAGCGCGACAGACGCGCTACCGATAATTTCATTCATACTATATGACAGCGGATGCATGCCTTCACATTATAAAAACGCTGCTGTCGCGCTTCTCACGCCCCACGGTGATCAATAATGAGATATTAGGTGGATAATATTCAAATTTGACATTGTGAGGGTAATTAAAACAAATCATCGCGATGTGATTAGGGGTACTTACCTCATATTCTTGTTGAATATGAACGTTTAAAGGTAAGTCATTACTGAGATACCAGCTTGTAAATGCAGTGCTCTCGCTAATTTGCACGGATTTGGTATTGTCCGCAGCACAAACAACGCCAACAGCAAGCAGTACTTGGAGGCGATAACGAAGCACGTGTACGATAACCTAAAGATGTGCCAGCATTCGCCAGCTGTTCAGATGACTCATGTGCCAGGTGCCTTCTTTTTTACCCCTCATCATCATTATTTCAGCTACAGGACTTCCACTGGTGAACATAGGCCAATGATTTCCAGATTGGCCGGTTGGCAGCGGCCTGCATCCAGCGCCTGCAACCTTTATGAGGTAATCTGTCAACGCTACTTTTTCTATTTTAAACTGGTGACTGTTCTTTGTTGCGGCACTTCTTCTCAGCACTTGGCAAGTGTTGGTCTCGAAGCGTTGTTCGTCGTTACAGCCAAATGACGTCCACTGCTGGACAAAGCCCTCCCCAAGGATTTCCAGCCTTTACCAGATCGTCGATCCACCTAGTGGGGGGGCCTGCCTGCCCACTACGTCTTCCGGCCCGTGGTCGCCACTCGAGAACTTTTCTGCCCTAGCGGCTGTCAGTTTTGCGTACATGTGCCCTGCCCATTGCCACTTCAGCTTGCTAATCTATCGGGCTACGTCAGCGACTTTAGTTCGTTTACGAATATCGCCCCGATTGCGTTAATTTGTAATGTCTCCAATTCGTTCGTGTTTTATCTCTAGTCACGCTCCATTTTCATTCCAGCTGATGTGCAATTCGGTATCGCGGTAAGTTCACGCATAAATAAAGACGAAACAACGGATTTATGTACCTTTCATTGAAATTCCGAACACCTTAGTTTTAAACTAAAACACAGCAAATATTCGTGAAGCGTTTGACTGGCGTGTGAGTTAAAGTAGCTTTCTGTCAGTTTTTACTCAAAGGCGCAGTTGCAGTCCGTTTACGTTACAGCTTCGTTTGAACTAGCTGCCAAAACAACACCGCGATACGGATTTATCAAAACAGTTGAAGTTCGTTCTTCGTCCAGTTGCGTTGCAGTTGAAAATAATTAGCGCAGTCGAGGCGCTGATTCGATCTCGTAAAGAAACACCGAGTATAGCCCTCTCCATAGCACGCTGTGCATATTATTATACTTGTTCATAATTTGCCGCTACGTCATTGCAGGCGACTTCTTCCCCGAAGAGTACCGGATAAAGGACGAGCCCGACCCCGACGTGAAGATGACGCAGGAGGAGGCCGACAAGATCGTCGACGCCAAGAACGAGTTCTATGACGACGAGAAGGTAACGTCTTTTAAAGTCTGGTTGCCGAGAAAACAATTTCGTCCAATGACCCCAAGCTACCCATCCTTATCGCTCGCACGTAATTCGCACAGTCGCGACAGCAATATAATTACGCGCGAGCGATAAGGATGGGTAGGTTGGGGTCATTGGACGAAATTCTATCTGCTCGGCGACCGTTTTAGCGATTAGGCTTTGAAAAGCGCTTTTAAACACCCTAGTAGAGGTGTGTTGATAGAATTTTGTTGGGTTCCTCATCTCTAAGAGCTCGCGCGTACGTGGAAAGTTTCTGTCACTGTCACATCTCTACGTGCGCGTTCGTACGTTCCTTTCAACCAAGATTCTAAATGAGTCGAAGTGCACTACGCTTTGGCTTGCCCTTAAAGACAAGTGGATGGATTTTGATGAATCTTTTTTTNCTTTCTTTACTTTTTACTAAAATCTACATAGACGAAATTGTGGGCGAAAGCTGCACAAGCAATTCATTTTGTTGCAAAATCGCACTTAACACAACCATTTAAGACTGTTTCTAATTCCAGGACAACGACAAGGAGGCTCCCGCGCCGCCGCCCGAGACTAAGGAGCCGTAGCGAACGCCCACGCCCTCGGCCACCACCGGCGCCGACGCGTCCGGTGGCCCGGACACGGGGGCGCCCATCCCGGACACCGACGTCACAGTGGTGCCCGTGCCGGACACGAGTGAGAGTGAACCTGTGCCCACCACTAGCGGGTTGTAAACTTTAAGCAGAAATAGACTTATGTACAGTCAGTGATAGCGGCAACGACGCGTCCGATGGCCCGGACACGGAAGCGCCCATCCCGGACACTGACGTCACAGTGGTGCCCGTGTCGGACACGAGTGAGAGTGAACCATTACCGACCACTAGCGGGTTGTAAACTTTAAGCAGAAATAGATTTATGTACAGTCAGTAATAGCGGCACCGACGCGTCCGGTGTCCCGGACACTGGGGCGCCCATCCCGGACACTGACGTCACAGTGGTGCCTGTGCCGGACACGAGTGAGAGTGAACCTGTGCCTACCACTAGTGGGTTGTAAACTTTAGGCAGAAAGAAATAGACTTTATGTTACGTTAAATTGGGTATTTGCTAGACAAAGTGAGATCGATGCCGACGCGTCCGGAGGCCCGGACAGGGGACCGCCCGTGCCGGACATGAGTGAGAGTGAACCTGTACCGACCACTAGTGGGTTGTAAACTTTAGGCAGATAGAAATAGACTATGTGAAAGCGGCGCCGACGCGTCCGGTGGCTCGGACACGGGGGCGCCCATCCCGGACACCGACGTCACAGTGGTGCTTGTGCCGGACACCGCCGTCACAGTGGTGCTTGTGCCGGACACGAATGAGAGTGAACCTGTGCCCACCACTAGCGGGTTGTAAACTTTAGGCAGAAATATACTATGTACAGCCAGTGATAAGCGGCACCGACGCGTCCGGTGGCCCGGACACTGGGGCACCCATCCCGGACACTGACGTTACAGCGGTGTCCAGACTCCAGAGTGAACCTGTATTGACCACTAGTGGGTTGTAAACTTTACATTAAATTGGGTATTCGCTAGACACAGTGAGATCGGCGCCGACACGTCCGGTGGCCCGGACACGGGGACGCCCATCCCGGACACTGACGTCACAGCGGTGCCCGTGCCGGACACGAGTGAGAGTGAACCTGTGCCCACCACTAGTGGGTTGTAAACTTTAAGCAGAAACAGACTTATGTACAGTCAGTAATAGCGGCACCGACGCGTCCGGTGGCCCGGACACTGGGGCGCTCAAACCGGACACCGACGTCACAGTGGTGCCCGTGCCGGACACGAGTGAGAGTGAACCTGTGCCCACCACTAGTGGGTTGTAAACTTTAAGCAGAAACAGACTTATGTACAGTCAGTAATAGCGGCACCGACGCGTCCGGTGGCCCGGACACTGGGGCGCTCAAACCGGACACCGACGTCACAGTGGTGCCCGTGCCGGACACGAGTGAGAGTGAACCTGTGCCCACCACTAGTGGGTTGTAAACTTTAGGCAGTTATATACTTTACGTTAAATTGGGTAATCTTTAGACACGCAGTGAAAGCGACACTGACCCGTGACCCGGACACGGGAGCGCCCATCCCGGACACCGACGTCACAGTGGTGCCCGTGCTGGACACGAGTGAGAGTGAACCTGTGCCCACCACTAGCGGGTTGTAAACTTTAGGCAGAAATAGACTATGTACAGCCAGTGAAAGCGGTGCAAACACGTGGCCCGGACACCGGGTGTCCATCCGGACACCGACGTCACAGTGGTGCTTGTGTTGGACACGAGTGAGAGTGAACCTGTGCCCACCACTAGCGGGTTGTAAACTTTAAGCAGAAATAGATTTATGTACAGTCAGTGATAGCGGCACCGACGCGTCCGGTGGCCCGGACACTGGGGCGCCCAACCCGGACGCCGACGTCACAACGGTGCCCGTGCCGGACACGAGTGAAAGTGAACCTGTGCCCACCACTAGCGGGTTGTAAACTTGAGACAGAAAGAAATAGACTTTATGTTACGTTAAATTGGGTATTCGCTAGACATAGTGAGATCGGCGCCGACGCGTCCGGTGGCCCGGACACGGAAGCGCCCATCCCGGACACCGACGTCACAGTGGTGCCCGTGCCGGACACGAGTGAGAGTGAACCTGTGCCCACCACTAGCGGGTTGTAAACTTGCACAGAAAGAAATATACTTTATGTTACGTTAAATTGGGTATTCGTTAGATATTCAGCGAAAGTGGTGCCGACCTGNCATCTCTAGTATATACCTTAGAGAAAAAAAAATGCCTTGGGGACCATTTCGAAAAACAATATTTAGTTTACTTAGTATAGTATAGCTGCTGAACAAATTCCTTAGGCGAAGCATACAAAGTATAATCTGTGACATTTTTGTAAAAGTTTAAGGCTTGGTTGCACCATCTTACTTTAACTGTAAAAAACGTCAGAAATCTGTCAAACTCCATACAAAAAGCACCGGTTATCGTCATAGTTACGGTCTAAGTTAGGTGGTGCAACCCAGCCTTACAGTGTGATTTTCAAAGATTGATATCTCGGGAAGTTTTTATGCTACAGAAGAAATTCTTTCACCATTGTTTCTATTATTGAGAGGTTAATCTTTAAAACACAAAAATAAAAATTTCATCATGCCTATTGCAGTTAGTCAATAAAAATTTTTTTTTATAGACTCAAAGAAGTAGCTGAGAGATGGAACAGATATGGCACTGGAGCCGGGTCTTCGGCACTGAGCTCATTGAGAGGAGTGCGTGCTGTGGCAGCCGGACCGGCCCATATCGCGTGTTTGCTTGAGGATGGCACCATATGCCGTGCTGCGTTCTCCATCATACCGGATAGATTGGATTTGAGCAAAGCTGATGCCAGCAAAAATGGAGGCAACGGTGGCGGTGGCGGCGGAGGCGGTGGTACTGGTGGAGGGAAGCAGGGCGGCAGCGGTGGTGGTGGCTGCGGCTCTAGGCAGCAGCCGCAGACTAGAGCTCGGATCATGAGGAGGAATTCAATCCGTGCTGCACCTAGTTCACAAGGTAACCTTATTAAATAATTAATTCAGTTATACAGGGTGTTTGGCGCATCGTGTGCCAAAATGATTTGGCGGATAGAATGGGTCATTACCTATATTTTCAGCCCCCATAACGCGTTCTATGCCAGGCGGCTACTTTTAAATTATTATTTTTAGTAATTTCACCAAAATACCCAAATCGCATCATTTAATGTCGATTTAAAAAAAACTACTAGGCGTAGCCTCAAAATAAATATTTTGTTTTGACGTGCGTTGATGTAGGGTTGCATCAAATCTAAATTTACTATCAAGTATCGTCTAGTTCTTTTTAAATTCAGCTTTGAAGTTTTCCGAAATGTTAAAAATGGACTGAACATTTAAGTTTACATGGCTATAATTTTTTTTTTAAAAGAGATAGCGATCTTCGGATTTTATCAAAACTTCTCTAGTCTATCCCCATTTAAACGGTATACTAATCTTGTTTAAATAATAACAACAACTTCACAAATTCCTTAAATTAGTGAATTGACTCTACTCGGACTGATTTTCGAAATTTGTGTGTAAAGCCTCTTTTTGTGTGAATAGCACGTTAAACACCTAACAGGTAAAAATTATTTATCTTATGCAATGTAAAAACCCTTTCTCTATCGTTTTTCAATGTGGATTTCTAGAAATTAAAGACGAAAATAATTATTTTGATCGTTTATTAATTATTACAAATTTTGTTCAAAATGACCGCCTCGGCAACGTATACACTCACGACATCTTCTAATTTCGACTGTTGTCGTATGCAGCCACATTTTTCTTTTTATTACTACAAAGGCGTTTTCTACTCGTGGATTGGAAAAGATGGCCCTATACAGTGGCCTGCACGTTCCCCAGACCTAACTCCGTTAGATTTTTACGTCTGGGGACAAGCTAAAGAACTGATATACGTAACGGATTCAAACAATAGAAGAACTACAACAACGAATAGAAAACGCCTTTGTAGTAATAAAAAGAGAAATGTGGCTGCATACGACAACAGTCAAAATTAGAAGATGTCGTGAGTGTATACGTTGCCGAGGCGGACATTTTGAACAAAATTTGTAATAATTAATAAACGATCAAAATAATTATTTTCGTCTTTAATTTCTAGAAATCGACTTTGAAAAACGATAGAGAAAGGGTTTTTACATTGCATAAGATAAATAATTTTTACCTGTTAGGTGTTTAACGTGCTATTCACACAAAAAGAGGCTTTACACACAAATTTCGCAAATCAGTCCGAGTAGAGTCAATTCACTAATTTAAGGAATTTGTGAAGTTGTTGTTATTATTTAAACAAGATTAGTATACCGTTTAAATGGGGATAGACTAGAGAAGTTTTGATAAAATCCGAAGATCGCTATCTCTTTTAAAAAAAAAAATATAGCCATGTAAACTTAAATGTTCAGTCCATTTTTAACTTTTCGGAAAACTTCAAAGCTGAATTTAAAAAGAACTAGACGATACTTGATAGTAAATTTAGATTTGATGCAACCCTACATCAACGCACGTCAAAAAAAATATTTATTTTGAGGCTACGCCTAGTAGTTTTTTTTTTAAATCGACATTAAATGATGCGATTTGGGTATTTTGGTGAAATTACTAAAAATAATAATTTAAAAGTAGCCGCCTGGCATGGAACGTGTTATGGGGGCTGAAAATATAGGTAATGACCCATTCTATCCGCCAAATCATTTTGGCACACGATGCGCCAAACACCCTGTATTATAGGTGTGCCTGAGGTATGGGGGCGGCACGTGAGGGCTGGCATTGTTCTTATCGTGTCGATAACAAACCTACACAGTGTCAGCCCAAAACTCCGCTACAAGAGTGGCGTTGTGTGGTTGGCATTGATATTATTATGATGTGACAGGGCATACAACTCTGAAGCCTTGCTGACGTTTGACATCAACAAAACGCCCCCCGTGCCGCTCCTATAGCTCAGGCGCTGACTGAGTTTTGCCTTAAACCTATAATTTGTCATGTAAACGTATTTTTCACATTTGTGTTATATTTCTCGTATAGGCTCAACCAGCCGGGCGGCGGGTGTCATAATTGGGGCATCAGGATCAGGACGAGTGGTATCGGTGCCAGCTCCGTTTGTTCCCGAAGATCTAGTTACACAAGCACAGGTTGTGCTACAAGGCAAAAGTAGAAGCCTTATTATCAGGGAATTACAGGTAACAATCGAGCGAGTGGATTTTATTTATTGCATCCCACCATTTAAAATTTTAATTAATGTTTCAGAGCTATGATAGTTTTGACAATAACTTGATTGGAATTTTTTGTACCTTTTCAACACAAGCATTTTTTTCGTATCTTATATGATACATAGGCAGTCTTCTATAAAATGAAACATTCCCGTGTCTCCAGGCGAGTTTTGATGAATTTTAAACCGAAATTCATGAATTTGTAAATGAATTCAAATTATAGATCTAGCACATCATGGCCTTGAAACAAAACATAAAATGGTAGTCGTAAATCTTTCTTATTATTCCTATGTAGTTACCAATTTCAATGTTGCTAATTGCTGTCAGGGTTTAACTTTTAACTACACATGTAATAATCTATCACCCGAATGATTAGCGTACGAATTTGGACGTGAACTTGGCGGTCAACAATCTGCTGTCGCGCGACGACGAGGAAGGCGAGGAGCCGGAAGGCGGCGAGGGCGGCGACGGCTACGTGCCCGAGGACCTCATCTCGCTGCTCGACGGCGGCTTCCACGCGGCGCAGCAGGACCACTCCGTCATCATCGATGCGGACGCCATGTTCTCCGACGACATCTTCGGGTACGCCGCCATCAGAAGGTATACCTGTCAAGCTGCGCTCCTCCGCCACACTCCTACCCGTAGACGAAGCAAACCCAATCTCTCGCACGCTGACGAGCTTACGCTGTTCCTTTTTTGTTCTGTGATTGGGTGTTTTCAGTTCGTAGTCGTAATAGATGTTCATCGTCGGGATGTAAAAAGACCGTATCAATACTGAATTAGGCCAGTTGATAAAGAAGTCCAAATCCAAATTAAAAATGTTGATGAGCTCCAGTGCCTCAATTAGATTGCGGTTGCGCATTTCCTGTGGATAAAACAATCCAATAGAATATTGACACCATTCCCCAATAATTCAAATTACAACTTTTTTAATAAAAGACTTCATTCTGGTTTTAAAAACTTGTAAATGTAAATTAAGATTTTTGGTTGCATTGTGATTGAAAAAAGTAGTTTGAGTGGATAAAATAGTGACGTCACTTGCTTGTATTGCAAAATCGGGACAGTCTCGTTTTGACAGTTTTAAGATGTACGTCACTAGATTTGTGGTGTCAACACGTCTATTGCGCAGCCGCTGCGGTGTAGTTACGTGTTCTAGTTGCTTTGTCTAATGGAAGCGAGGAGCTCGATGGTCTTTTTACACCCGATACGGCGGGGGACTGACTGTCATTTTGTGATATAGCCGTAGCGGGGGCGGCGGCGGCGGCAGCAGCGGACGCGGGGCCGCGAGTCGCGAGAGCAGCAGCTCGGCTCAGGAGCGGCCTTCGGAGTTCAGTCGCTGGCGCGAGAGGCAATACTTCGGCCCTCGCCGGTGGCTGGAGTCCGCTCTCCGTGACACCTCTTGGGATAAAGACGGCGGTAATTATTTTTGTTTTATTATAATCATATCTCATCACCGCTAGGATGCGCGCCGCGATAAACTGTTATCACGCCATTATATCGACTTTTCACATACATTTTGACGTCGATAAAGTATATCACGGCCAGCGTTGCCAGTTTTTTTTTCGCCAAGTCGGGACTTTGGTACTTTTTGAGTGAAAATAGCGGGATTCTTCCTTCAAAAGAGGGACATAGTAAAAAAACGTATAAATCAAAGGTTTTCAAATATTTATCTGTTTATTTGACTTAAAATTACGTTTACGTGACAATAGATAGCAAAAGTAGCCATAGAAAATGTATTTTAACAAAAAAATAATATTTTAAATCAGATTTAAATTCGTCTTTAGAATAAAAATAGAAAAACAAAACAAAAATCTAAATAAAAAAAAATATTATTTAGAATAATATGGCGTTTCAAACAATAGTCTGGTGAAGTGAGTGTCTCTTTCCGAAAAGCGGGACCGAGCCTGTCCCGCGCGGGACATTTAAATTTTATTTAAAAATCGGGACGTCTGGCAACGCTGATCACGGCCCGCATCCTACCCCGGCAGATAATTTATTTAGTCTATGTCTCTACTGCAGGATCCTCTCTTAGTTACCAGAACCAAAAGAATAATTTACCACTCTATTGGGGAGGAGGGACAGATATGTAAAGAATTAGAAAGTACAAGAACCATGAGAAACCATGGAGTCCTTAGTATATTGAGAAATTACACATCATCAAACATTGTATAATTTCCTCAACAACTTAATTTCCTTAGGTGAAAGCAAAAAGAAGGACTCTGCCATGGCAGCTTCGCCGTTGTGGGTGTCTGAAGAGCTGGAGTACTGGGATAGCAACATTCGCTTCACTCACATAGCGGCTACGTACAGCGAGCTGGTAGCCGTGTCCACTCAGGGACAGTTGCATCAGTGGCGTTGGGCTGACGCCCACCCGTACCAACGTAACGATGTAAGTCATTTGCTATGGTACAGACAACAGTATGTCTAACTATAGATCACTAAACTGAGACAGTGCCTGAGCTATGGGAGCGGCACGTTACGGGAGTGGTAATTTTTGACATTATGACGTGACAGAGCATACAAATCTGAAGTCTTGCTGACATTTGACGTCACAAGAAATACCCTCTCGTGCCGCCCAGTTAAGCGCTAGAGCTATAAACACTGACTATTTAGTCATAGTAAAAATGTATAGTCTGATCTGCTGTTGTCTCTATGCATAATGTGTTTTATGTTTTTTTTTCTGTTACGATATTATGCCTCTTTGCACGTTTGGGATATCAATATAATTTTCGTTTACAGGCGTCTGGGTCAAACCCGACATACCATCCTCGCGCTAACTGGCTGGGCTTGGCTGCCGGCGAGCGCATTATAAACATCAGCGCTGCCGGAATACGCGTTTCGGTACTCACTGACGCTGGCAGGGTTGCCACTTATCTTGACGAATCTATTGGTAAGTAAACAAATCTTTTATAACAAAACATGACAACGTCTTCATTATATTAATTATAAATATTAATAAATCCTTTCACTTGCAGCACATGCCCCAGGTGCCTCGCGCTTAGAGCACCCACTTCAGATATTCTCTGAGTTTGGATCAGACAAACCCATATCTCTGCATGTTTGCTCACTGTATACTGTCGCAAGATTGGATTCTGGTGCACTGTTTTGGTGGTGAGTGTTGTGTACTTTTTTACTTGATTTTTTCACAACTATGTTTTCAGTTTTAAATAAATTGTGAATAGTGGGACTACAAGTGGTTATAATTCACAATAAAGATTATAGATTATTCTTAATACTAAAATAAAAATTTCTGTAGCTTTGACAGCAATAAAATGTGATGTCATAGCTTATCTTTGCCATACAAATTCATTTAGAGCTCGTAAAAACTACATAAATTGATTGGTAGTATCAACAAGTCTATTCAATAAGTAAATGAACTCTGAACACTTGTCTTGTTTTCGGAGTAATCCATTAGCTCTGAAAATCAGCGTAAAACGGTAGCACTTTATTAAAAAACTAGCCTTTTCTTTGGGTTGATTTTGTGAGTGGCTTTTACATTTAAAAATGTAACATCGGGTGTACTATCTCTGACTAATTTTACGAGATGTCTACACGAACAATGTTACCTCTGACAATTTTGTGATAGATCTCTACATAAACTATGTTTCCAGGGGTGTACTTTCTCTGATGATTTTCCTAGGGATGTCTCATAAACAATATGTGCAGGATTGTACTGCTTCTGACAATTTTGTGAGGGATTTCTACACAAAAACTCTTTTCAGGGGTGACGTTCCTCTTGACGATTTTCCGAGTGATGTTTACATAAACTATGCTCTCAGGGGTTTACTGCCTCTGACATTTTGCGAGAGATGTCTCCTCAAAAATATTTCCAGGGGTGAACTGCCTTTGCCAATTGCGTTAGATGTCTACATGAGCAATGTTTGCAGGGGCGAACTACCTTTGCCAATTTTGCGATAAATCGTTATTAAAATAGCGAATAGAGTCGCTTCTCAAACTAAATTTGCGATAGATGTCTACATGAGCGATATTTGCAGGGGTGTACTGCCGCTCGGGCAGCGGGCTCGGCTGTGGGAGAAGCACCGCGCGCGCTCCCGCAAGCAGCAGCGCGGGCACTCGTCGGCCGCGCCGCAGGACCTGCAGGCCGGCCAGAGCGTCACCATGAAGAACGCGCCCATGTACCAGCCCGGCGCCGTCGGTCAGTATACCTAGCCAACTAAGGCGAATATCCTATGCTGAAGGCTTGATGTCCTTCTAGCCTGATACCGGTCGCGTACGTCAGCTGAGCGGACGAAGTAAAAGGTGACTCATAAAACGTAAGTATACGAGGGCTGCACTAAAAGTATCGGGAATGGAATATTTCCACTGTTCCAGTCATATTAAAATCTATTTAATTGCAAACTCCAGGGTTTTAAAAATCGTATACCATTTATTTATTTAAAAAAAGATTCTCGGTCGTATCACAAGGTCTAGTCAAACTTGTTTAGTCGTTGAGAAAACGGAATTGACTCGAGAAAATTCAAGAGCGATGATTTATTATGACTTTCGGAGTGGTTTAACATGTGTTGACCGGATGATTTCTGCATTTGGTAATGAAGCCCCATCCAAAACCACAATTTATCGCTGGTTTCCTGAATTTCAACGTGGACGTGTCAAGCTCAGTGATGATCCCCGTCAAGGTCGTCCAAAAACTGCAGTCACCTAAGAAAACGTTGATGCTGTGCGTAAGCTGATTGAAGAAGATCGACATGTGATATACCGCGAAATTCAGGCAACTTTAGACATTGGCATGAGTCAAATACAAATAATCTTGCATGAACAATTAGGTGTAAAAAAGTTGTTTTCCCGATGGATACCGCATTCGCTCTGTGAAGAGCAAAAAGCGGCTCGCGTTACTTGGTGCGTCAGAACTCTCGGGAGATTACATGCAGGATCCTCAAATGCTGTATACAACATCGTATCAGGTGACGAATCATGGATATACGCGTACGAACCCGAAACAAAAAACCAGTCACGAGTTTGGGTGTTCGAAAATGAATTAAAGCCAACAAAAATTGTTCGTTCACGGAGTGTTGCAAAAAAAATGGTGGCCACGTTTGTCTCCAAAACCGGCCATGTTGCGACTATTCCTCTTGGGGGACAAAGAACGGTTAATGCAGATTAGTATGCTAGCATTTGTTTGCCACAGGTCGTTTCTGAACTCCGTAAAGAGAACTGCAACCGCCGCATCATCCTCCATCACGACAATGCGAGTTCTCACACCGCGCACTGAACAAAAGAGTTTTTAGAGCAAGAAAACATAGAATTATTAGTCCATCCGCCGTACAGCCCTGACCTAAGCCCTAATGATTTCTATACTTTCCCTAAAATAAAGAATAAATTGCGTGGTCAGAGATTTTCATCACCTGAAGAAGCTGTGGAAGCCTACAAAACGGCCATTTTGGAGACCCAAACTTCCGAATGCAATGGTTGCTTCAATGATTGGTTTCGTGTATGGAAAAATGTGTCAAATTTCGCGGAGAATACTTTAAAAAGCAATAAATACATTTTTAAATAGTAATGTTGTTTCACTTCCTTGATTCCCGAAATTTTCAGTGCCGCCCTCGTACAACGTTTTATGAGTCACCTTTTATTATACAGACTACGATTCGTACGCGTGGATACCGTTTTACCTCCTTAGGCTGGTTTTAGTGTCACGCGGACTGTCAGTGCGGATCGCTCCGCACAGCCAATCTGTATGAACTGCTAGGGAGCGGAGCGTTTCCTCCGAACCGCATTACTCTAAAAAGCTCCCTAGAAGTTCATACAGATTGGCCGTGCGGAGCGGGTCCGCACCGGACGGTCCGCGTGACACTAAATGGATTGATTTTGCAAAATCCCGTCTTAGTGGGCACCTACGTTCTAAAAGGAACCCCCATGCAAAATTTCAGACTCCTAGCACTTATAGTTTCTGAGATTTCATGATGAGTGAGTCAGTCGGTTAGTCAGTCAATGACATCGGCCGCGTACGTCAGCTGAGCGGACGAATGTACCAAACGTTTTATGACTCACCATAAAATACATTGATTAGTCACTAAGTTACGGTCCCAGACAGAGTCGAGGTATCACCCAACTGATTTATTTACATCCCGTCTTATACTAAACTAGCGGCGTTCGTTCGCGTGGATACCGTTTTACCCTCTTAGGGATTGAATTTTGCAAAATCCCGTCTTAGTGAGCACCTACGTTCTAAAAGGAAGGGTCCATTCAAAATTTTAGACTCCTAGCACTTGTAGTTACTGAGATTTCGTGATGAGTGAGTGAGTCAGTCAATCAATCAATGACATCGGTCGCGTACGTCAGCTGAGCGGACGAATGTACACTTACGTTTTATGAGTCACCATAAAATACATTGATTAGTCAGTCACTAAGTTACGGTCCCAGACAGAGTCAATGTATCAGCCAACTGAATTACATATTTATTACATCCCGTCTTTTACTAAATACTCGCAGATGAACATGAGTTGTGTGGTGACTTGTTCTTTCACCCAACATGATAGATGTCAATGTTTTCGCGGAGTCATGGGTCTGCATGGGTGTCAGTTAAGGCTCTAAATTATGATTTGTTAGTAACTTTATCGATCTCATTGTCTTGATCTCATTGAAGTTATGAAAACTTTAATTTGTATTTCATGATAAAATATGTTTTTAGGTTTCAACATGTCCACCGGAGTGCCGAAAGTGGGCGTCCTGCAGAACGCTGCATGGAACCTATCTGACATGTGCCGCTTCAAGCTGCTGCCTCCGCCGCAGCCGGAGCGTTCCGTCTCTGAAAAGGACAAGAGAGATCTCCAGGTAATATAAATTTTTAATTTTTTTAACTTTATCATTCTTTGTTTACATAATAATGTACCTTACAACAAGTAAATTGTGTTGAGGACGCCTATAAACACGGGAAGTATCTATAAATGAAAAAAAATCTTATTATAATTAATGACTAAACCCTACTGGTATAGCCAGGAACTACAGCTTGGCTTTATATCGTCAGCTTGAATGAGCGTCTTGTCCTTATGCCTAGACTCGAGTAAAACCTTTATATCACCTCCAGAATCAGTCGCCGCTGACCGTCTCGTCAGTGAAGGCATCCTCGTCGGGAAGCAGTAAGGACGCAGGCAAGGACAGCAACAAGGACATGGCCGATCGCCTCGACATGCCGCCGCCGCCCAGCCCTGCTTCATCCACCTGCAGCGATACTAGCACCTCGCACAGTCAGTATCTATACCAATATCATGTAGCTCTAGGCATAGGATGCGCGCCGCGATAAATTTTATCGCGCCATTTATGCGATAAGCTCATACATTGGTCGTCTAAAATCATCGATAAAATTTTATCACGGTGCGTCTTAGTCCGGCTGAAGAGTTTATTTTGTTGAACGCGCTAATCTCGGGACCTATTAACTAGATTTGAAAAAATAGTTTTGTTTTGGATAGCCCATTTATCAAGGAAGGAATGCCTGCCTTCACATTGTAAAAACGCCGCTGCCGCGCTGTCATATAGTATGAAATTAAGAGTCGTGCGACTAAAGAGCGCTTCTAAAGTTGCCTAAATGCGAAAGCGCTCTAAGGCTACATACAATCTTCACTTACTCATTTCTTTCTTTTTCATAGAACGTGCCAAGCGTGTAACCGTTCGCGGCGAAGAGGGCTCATCTAACGACGGATCGAAGCGCGACGAAGAGGAATGGCCTCTCAAAGAGGTCGTGTTCCTTGAGGACGTCAAGAGCGTGCCCCTCGGACGTGTGTTGAAAGTTGACGGAGCGTACGCTGCTGTTCGCTTCCCAACAGTGGGCAAAGACGGCAAGGAGGTCGTGCCGTCGACTCCTGATGACTGGACTGCATTGTTGCAAGACTGCAGGCTTGTGCGCAAAGACGACTTGGTGGCGGTGAAATGGGGCGCAGGCGGCGCGGCCGGCCCGAGAGGCCCAGATTGCCTTCAGCGCTCGCCTAGAAAAATCGCGTTGCCGCCTGAAGTGCAAGTCATCACTATTGCTGTGAGTATATCTTGCTTCGTCTTTACACTGTTTTAATCTTACTAAAATACCTAAGTAAGAATCAATAGCTAGACGAAAATTCGCACAATAACAGGAGTGTGATCGTTGTGTCTTTTGGGTGGGTAGGGTTTTAGATAGAAACAAAAAACAATCAAGTTTTATCTGTTCTTGACTAATTTCCGGCGCTAGTAGATTGAGACACATTTTCTGCACAAAAAAAAATTTGGTCCTTCGAGCCGGATGTCCAATAGATTTTTTGATACTAATTATAATGAATGTTTTTTATCCCTAGGTTGACAGTCGCGGTGTTCACGCCGTAGTGCGTCGCCCAGGAGGCGCGCTAGCTTACGCCGTATATGCGGTTGGAACCACCCGCGCTCTAACTGATAGCACATTCCCCACCGATCACAATGCTCTGCTGGGGTACTCTAATGGGCAAGCGATACAACTGGCGACTGCTGCTGAGGTAAGGCTAAATACTTTTAAAGTGCATCGTTTAGAAAAAATACATGTATCGAACTAACGGATTTGTGTTATCGAATCATTGATGGAAAACAACAACAGATTGATGCTCATTACACAGAAAGATATAGCTGAGTAAAAAAAAAGTGTAGACTATCTACTTTGTGTGTGCGACATTTGTATGCACTGGTCCGTGCCGCAATGACCATTCAATCAAGCAACGCTATTTCTAAACGTGATAAAAGACTACATTACGACCTATTCCCAGAGCTGGCTGAAACACTTTTTTTTGCCTACAGGGTAGCGAGCCAGTAGTCATCATGTTGGATGGCAACAGCGCCCTATACCCAGTGGCGCGCGACTGCGTGGGCATGGTCCGCGAGCCGCCGCCATTGAATCTACCACCTGCGCGCGCTCTCACCGCGCACGCGTTGCCGCTGCATCCACATTCAGCTGCCCACGCGCACCACGCTGCGCTCAAGTCTCAGGTAAATAGCAAGCTGTGACAGTAATAGAGACAGCACCTTGTATCAGTAACATATGACTGTGGGCGTGATACGAGACCCTCAAAGTTAACCTGCGGACGCGCATCACGGCGCCAATAAGTCACAGGTAAATAGCTAAAGCCTGGTCTGTGAGCACGTAGAATTTTGTCCAATGACCCCAAGCTACCCATCCTTATCGCTCGCGCGTAATTATATTGCTGTCGCGACTGTGCGACTGGCACCCGCAGTGAGGGTGCGAGCGCGACAGCAACATAAATACGCGCGAGCGATAAGGATGGGTAGCTTGGGATCATTGGACAAAATTCTACATGCTCGCGGACCAGACTATAGCTGTAAATAGGATAGTCATTATCATCCTGGACGGCAACAGCGCCCTATACCCAGTGGCGCGCGACTGCGTGGGCATGGTCCGCGAGCCGCCGCCATTGAATCTACCACCTGCGCGGGCTCTCACCGCGCACGCGTTGCCGCTGCATCCACACTCGGCTGCCCACGCGCATCACGCTGCGCTCAAGTCACAGGTAAATAGCTAGCTCTGACGGTTATAGAGACGGCACCTTGTATTAGTAGCATATTACTTTGGGCGTGATACGAGACTCAATGTGAACCTTCTGCGCACGCGCATCACGGCGCCATTAAGTCACAGGTAAATAGCTAAAGCCTGGTCCGTGAGCACGTAGAATTTTGTCCAATGACCCCAAGCTACCCATCCTTATCGCTCGCGCGTAATTATATTGCTGTCGCGACTGTGCGACTGGCACCCGCAGTGAGTGTGCGAGCGCGATAGGAACATATTTACGCGCAAGCGAAAAGGATGGGTAGCTTGGGGTCATTGGACAAAATTCTACGTGCTCGCGGACCAGACTATAGCTGTAAATAGGATAGTCATTATCATCCTGGACGGCAACAGCGCCCTATACCCAGTGGCGCGCGACTGCGTGGGCATGGTCCGAGAGCCGCCGCCATTGAATCTACCACCAGCGCGCGCTCTCACCGCGCACGCGTTGCCGCTGCATCCACATTCGGCTGCCCATGCACACCACGCTGCGCTCAAGTCTCAGGTAAATAGCAAGCTCTGGCGGTTATAGAGACAGCATCTTGCATCAGTAGAATAGACGACCTTCACTATTTGGATTTTATTGTCGGTTAAGCTGTAGAACATGGAGTGGCAGCGGGTAGAAATAGTGGCCAATCGCCCCTATCCATTTTGTAGATAATGCATCTATGCAAATACTTCGGCCATGACATTTCGTAGCTTGAATCCTTGTCCCTCCAAGAAATAATCACAAGAACTTAAACAATCTCTGAGATTTCTAGACTGTAATTTCTCCATTTTAATTCGCAGGTGGCCCTTATAATCATCGTGCCGGAACCGCAGCTGATGATGCCACGAGTACTTCGTTGCGATCTTGACGGTGTCCGTCAACTATTACACCAGTTGGAAACGGATGCAAACAGTGAGTTTGAATACTTGCGTCTTGCTTGCATGACTTTGAACTTGTATTTCTGTAAATATGCAGTTCTCTATAACTTTTTTATTTGTTTTAGAGCAACAAATCCTTTCGATACTGCAAGAGCGTTGCGACGGCAATAGAAACATCTTGCATGCGTGCGTTCACATGTGCGCCCCAACGTCCAACAAGGAGCCCGATATAGGTTTGTTTCATAAATTATTATTATGCATATACATAGTAAATAGTGTGCCATTATTTATTCTTATTATTTATTTCTAATTATTCTCAGCAGAAAATCCTTCTATGCCCAATTTGGCTGGAAGCACGGGTGGTAGCGCCAACGCCGAAGAAGCTGTGCCTGCTCTGTCATGGCCGCCGGAGACTTTCGAAACCTCTGGCGATGAAGACAGCCTGATGGGACTCACTAACAATGGGTGAGTAAGCATAGAAAAGTGTGTATTCCTAATTTATGACGTACTAAATGTGCTAGTGATGTGTACTAAATCTGAACTGTTTTGCTTTGGTAAGTATACTTTTCATTCAAAACTTACAGGTAATGACGGCAAATGTGATTAAAAACTTCGCCAAATATTTCCGTTATTGGCGTAATGTTGTTGTTGATGAAATATTTAAATAAAAAATAAAAAAAACTTATCGTTTATAATGTTTTCTTGATAGCAGATTTTTTTCCTTTATAACAATGTAACGTTTACGTTGGAAATTGAATAGATGATACGTTTGCAGGAAAATGTCTAGCGGGGGCAACTCAGGTGGAGGCCCCGTGAGCGCGGACCCGGCCGAGCGACGCGGCAACGCGCTTACAGCTCTGCGTGCGCTGTGCGAAAGCGCTGCGCTGCAGCCGCATCTGATGCAGCTGCTTACTGCCAAGTAAGTGTTCACAGTTTTAGAGGCTTTACTAGTTTAACTCGGATAAAAGATCTGACTGGTGTATCTGATTATTGTCAATCTTCTGCTGCACACTATTTAAAAAGCAAATAAATTCTTATTCTGTTGTTTTTACAGGGATGGAATGGGTCAAACGCCCCTAATGGCGGCCGTAGCCGAGCGTGCATACCGTGCTGCCCTAGTTTTGCTTGACGCGATTCGCGCATGCACCGATGCTGACGAGACGCAGCGCTCGGCGGCCATATTCCCACCGAATGCTCACCCCGATCATTCGCCGCTGCTCGTGCTGTGCTGCAATGATACCTGCAGCTTCACCTGGACTGGACAGGAGCATATCAACCAAGTGAGTAGGAACTGCTAAAAGCAATTTCTTTCATGAAAAGTTCACATTTATTTTATTGAGGTCTTTCTAATTTGGTTTGTGTAATAATTTAAAATCTTTTTCTACAGGACATTTTCGAATGCAAGACATGTGGACTCACTGGATCTTTGTGCTGCTGCACTGAATGTGCCAAGGTATGTTTAATCATTTAAAAAACATTCTATTGATACGTCTTGTAGATTAACTTGTTAATATTACGTTCATTTTGTCCTCTAGGTGTGCCACAAAGGACATGACTGCAAACAAAAGCAGACGTCGCCCACCGCTTACTGCGACTGCTGGGAGAAATGCCGCTGCAAAGCACTCGTCGGCGGCAACTGGGCAGCTCGCTGCGACTTGCTGGCCCGACTGGCTAGAGACACACAGCTCGCTACACACTTCAACTCTAGGTTAGTGTATAAAAAATAACTTATTTTAGAACTATGTAATGGAGACCGTAATCCGCCTGTGTGGCATTAAGATTACTTGTGTAACATTGATCAATCGGTTCCAATTCAACCGTCTTATGATTATGACTCTCCTAAAAATAAAACCTGTCCAAGTTCGCATCAAATATGACCATAAGAGCGGTTTCGCGTCTGATCCGAATCCTTGACAATACGGTCCGGAGTAGTAACCATTTGTTGTATGGTACAGATCGGATCTAGTATCCGATTTCTGTAATAGTTTTCTAAAGCCCGGTTACGCGCGAGCGATAAGGATGGGTAGCTTGGGGTAATTGGACGAAATTCTACTCGCTTGGCGACCGGACTTTAGATACGTATTTTCATAAGATGCAGTGTGAATCCGCTCGTTTACGTGAGGGCTATATATTTTGATCAAAAACCAAAATATGTACACGTGAATATATACGTTAATTTATTGTTTTTTTTCTTCCAGGGGAGAATCGATCCTTCTATTCCTCGTGCAAACCGTCGGCCGTCAAGCTGTAGAACAGCGCCAATTCCGCGCAGGCGGCGGGCGCGGCCGCGGCCCTCGCAAGCAGCCCGGCTCCGACGCAGAGGTCGATGCCCCCGACCACGACCTGGAACCGCCTAGATTCGCTCGCAGAGCCCTCTTGCATTTACTCGGTAAGTTTGTGTTATTTTAATACTTGCGGTAAGCATTTGGGAAACTATCCACTTTGTTTATTAGTTGTTGTTGTGAACCTTGGATATTAGGGTTATCTTTGTAGCGACGTTGTGCATGATTGATTTCTGTAATACTAAAGTGCGTATGTAAAAAACATGCGTAAACTCATTCGTTCTAGAAGTCAAATGACTACTCATTTGTTGATTTCAAAGCTAGTAACAATCTAATTTAATAGCAAATTAAATAAACTAGCAATTTTTTAAAATCTCCAACGGGGAAGCTCTTGGCCTGTATCTCACCTGATGGTAAGTGAAGGTGGAAGCGAGCTTCACCCAGAATCCTCACCCACAGAGGAACTGGCTATCTTACCTCTAACTGCCGGAACACAACAATGAAACAATGCTGTTAATATTGTTGTTATGGCGACAGACTTAAAATCTTATACTGTGTTAACGACAAGTTATTGTTTTCATAGGTGACTGGCCAGCAGTAGAAGCCGCAGTGATGTGTGGCGCAGCCGTTAGCGGCGAAACTGACAGTCGGCCCGCTAGCCCTGTCCCCAACCAATCTGGAACCACTCTACTTGACAAGTTCACCCACGCGCTCATCGTGAAGTGCACTAACGAGGTTTGTTTTCAATCATTTATTTATTTTAATGACACAGGTTTTATACCTATTTTGTAGCCTTTGTAAATACTATAACTTTTATTGGAATATGTTTAATTTAAAAATCGTAATTGTCTTGTTTTAGATGTTAGATACTCTGCTGCATACACTGATTCGTGAGCAACAAAACGAGACCATACCCGGTCGTGCCGAACGCGCTCGCGAAGTAGCGCGTCGATTCGTGCGTTCAGTCGCGCGTATATTCGTCATATTCAGCGTTGAAATGGCGCCAGGTGCCGCAAAGAAGAAGGGGTAAGTTCTTACTGCACCATCCTTTTATTAGATAAATAAATATTTGATTTAATTTGATAGGCTTTTGGTTGGCCTTTTTGTTAATATTTGGCATTTCTTACAGACCTCTCTCCATCACATCGTCCCTAGTCCGTTGCCGCCGCGTATTCGCTGCTCTAGTAGCGTTAGCAGTTGAAGAGTTAGTTGAAGCTGCAGACTCGCTCCTAGCTCCCGTGCGTTTGGGAGTTGTGCGTCCGACGGCGCCTTTCCCACTCGCTAACACTTACGTGGAACTAGTGAATGGCAGTGAGGATCTATTTGGCGTTGAGCCGTTGTCTACGGGGCATTCCCGGCACAGTCACACTCGCAGGTAAGTTAATATCGAAAATATTCGCGTGAATTGGACAAGTATTATTGAGAGTCAATCTAAAATGATACTTATTATAGTTAAAGACACTTTATTTCTCATAAGAATACAAATTTGATTCACTTACTGAGAAACTAACATTTTAATACACAAACACGAGCTTCGCTAAAAACAAAGAAATAATATCACTAAACTAATATTTCATGAAAGTCGGTAGTCTTAAAAAACTAAAACAAACAGTCTCAGCGCGGACCATTCCCTGCGAGTGTTAGAAACTTGAACACGAATGCACGAAGTATTGAAAATTCCTTTTATAATAGGGAATCAAGCGCAGCTGGTGGTCGAGGTGCAGCCGCTGGCGGCACTTCAATGGGCAGCTCCACACTGGTCCCGGACCGCTCGTCCACGCCCGTAGCGACGGAGTACGCTGATGACGTAGCGGGTGAAGCTTTGGGCGGCGATGATGACGCGTCCGAGACTGACGAGCCGAATGCGCCTGCTCCCGTGCCCGCGGCTGATGCTCAACATCATGATGACCCAATGGGTGACAGGTAGGAAATGATTCAAAAAATATCAAACCCACTAAAATAATGGAGAGGTCTTGCTAATGAGGGTTTTCGCGAATGAAAAATCCGCCAGATGGCAATACGTAGATGCGAGGTCCAAATGCTGCATGATTAGTTATTTTTGACATGACATTGACAGATATGTCAAAATCCACCAATCACGCAGCAGTTAGACCCCACATCCACGTCCCGCCATCTAGCGGATCTTTCATTCGCGAAAACCCTCATTATGTGTGCTATAGCAAAATTGATGGTATGACGATACTTGGTAACTGAAGAGAGCTTTCACATGTTCATTGACTTTTTTTACTTTTCTTTTCCGAAATCACGAATATCTAGCAACATCAGCTTCTTCTTACTTATTATTTAATTTTCTATAGAGGGCAAGAACAACACGTAGTGGTTGAGAACGGCACTGAGCGCGCCGAAGGTGGTGAGAGCGAGAGTGAGTTGGACTTGCTGGCTGAAGTGGAGACTGAATCCGACTCCGATGATCAAGACAACGCCGAGTCTGCCCAGCGAAGCGTGCAGACTGGCGCTACGCAAGGATCTGACGCTGGTATGTTCTATTCATTTATTGAATTTATCACTGTTGTTATTTTAAAACTAGTATTTCAATTAATATCGATATCAATGTTCTTTGTACCAAAGTTATTAAATCATGCAACTACTTAAAAGCCATGATAGTCAAACGGTAAAGTGGTCGGACTGACCGTCTTGACACTTGAGGAACGGGGGTTCGAACCCCGCCGCCTGACTATTGTGGTGAGCCCACGCGTAACACAAGCATATTTATCTTAGTTAGTACGAGGGGCTAATGGTACTAGTAATTTGTGCAATACAAAATTTAATATAGTTTTGCAGCTTAAGTTTGTAACGTATTGCTTATCCGAATCTACTGTGGTCTTGATAAACGTGTAGTTAGCGCTGTTCAGTGTAGTAGTTCACTGAAGTAGGCTAATGAGAGGCCGTGGGCCAGTGGCTTTATTGTCGCAATTATCCCGTGCACCGCGACAGGCATAGCCTCGCTGCTGCTGTACCCGGACGAAGAGAGCGGCGACTCCACGCAGCCCGAGGACGAAGACTCCGAGGCGGGAGAGACCGACGAGCAGGACGGCGAGACCGAGCCGCCTCTACATGACGGCGAGCCGCTGGAGCGCCGCACCGCGCCGCCATCGCGCCCTAACCTCGCTCCGCATTCGATGCAATGGGCTATTCGGTGAGTTTAAAAAACATTTTTTTAATTTATTTATGCTAGTAGTGCTGAAACATTGCAGTCTATTTTGAAAGGCTGGAGAAAGAACGATAGTAAATGACTGTACATAAATAAATTGGTTGTACATAAATAATTTTTACGTAACGAAATTGAATTGTTATTTTGTGTAATGCAAGGGTTATTGCATCATTGTCATCTGCATAGCGGATTTTGACATTGTAATTTTTCAATGCATGTAACCAAAACAAGAAAAACAATCACAGAGCGAAGTCTTTTTTTCTTCATCTGCCTCTGCATGATTTCATTTTCTGATTATTTTTCAAATTACTGCGAATTTACTTTTATTTTTTGTTTTTTCTTAATCGGAAATATTGTGCCGTGGGGATGGCCGTAAAGAATACCATTCCTCACCGCCAACAGGAGGCGTGTCGTAAGATGCGACTAAATCCTGTAGTACGAGATGGGCAGCAGCGTCTGCGTGCGAAACCTTCTAAAAAATTGCGCTTGCCAACCCGCCTGGCAAGAGTGGCGAGTATTGGCAACTCTTTGATGAGGTCTATGTTCAGCAGTGGACGCTCTGTGGCTGAAGTGATGAAAAATGATGGAAATATTTATTGTTTCATTTGGTCTTACGGTGTAACGATAGCAAACTTGCTTTATTAGCGAATGCATTTTAAATCTTGTCTATCATGCGACCAGCATAAACACGATAACCTAGCTTATCTTTTTGTGGAGTTCTCATAAGATTATCAATTTACCAGGTCCCGCGAGACGAACCGCGGTACTAGTGGCACTACTGGAGGGGTGCGCTTATCTGGAGGCTCCTCGCTGGTGTTCATCGACCCGGCTTCGTTGCGGCGCTCCACCGCCGCGGCTGCCGCGGGCGCTCACGACCCTCATTCCACCTCCACCACTGCTTCGTGTTTGGCGCGGGCCTTCGGTTAGTATGATGACGTCACAAAGTTTACTTGACATAAGTCGGCACGTGTCTCACGCCCGTATTCACAAACATTACTATGAGGTCTCACAGTGCTCGTAGACGCACAGGGTGACACACGAACCAATCACAGAGCTCTATTCGACGCTGTGCGTTCGATTTGTTGCTTCACTTGAGCAAGCATCATTTGTGAATACGGGTGTCAGAGGGATAAAAAATACTTGATGTTGCACCAAAATGTCACACAAATCTCATTTCTTCGAACATGTACTCATGATAGAGTTTGCCTGCGATTCTGTTCAAGTTCAAGCATTTATTTGCCTAAACACAGTGTTATACCAAAACTTGTGACTGAGCATACAGAGTACACAGACTTGATTTTCTTCAGCTTATTAGAGCATATTACTTCCCTTTTGCCGTCTTCCAAAGGCATAGTTACTTACACTTGTTCCCTTTTGTAGGTATTGTCATCCGTCAAATTGCCGACCTACTCTGGGAGTATGAGCGCGTGACCCTCCCGCTGCCTCGCATGGTGCCACTGGCGTACCGCGAGGCTCTTCGCCTGCAGTGCTATTTGGAAAGGCAACTCAAGAACACCTGGGACTGGCTAGTCACTGTAATGGACGCTACTGAAGCTCAGCTAAGGTGAGAATTTTTAAAATTCGTATATTTCTGATCTAATGAAGCCACGATAGCCGAATGGTGAAGGGGTCGGACTGGCGAACGCGGGTTCGGTCCCCGCCGCCGTTCGACTATTGTGGCGAGCTCACTCGTGATACAAGCATATTTAGCTTAGTACGAGGGGCTAACGGGAAAAGTTTATTAGTAATTTGTTATTACACAAATTACTAATAAACTTTTATAAAAACAAATATAATTTCATTGTTTTGTTTACTTTATAGAGACTAAACTGGGTCAGAGAATAATATGTTTACCAGTCACAATTTGTCTAGATTCGGCGCGTCGCTGACAACCAACAACGCTAGCACATCGAGCACGGATAGCGGGAGGCCTAACGCGCCCGCCGCTAGGCGTGTCACGTCGTTCTCGTCGCCCGCTACCCGCATCATTGGGTTCTCAGAAGGGCCTAGGGCAAGAGATCGCGAACAAGGTAAGTTTTATTTCAGTATTTACTCAACATACTCGTAAGTGCCTCATATTTATTGTTGTCAAGTACATAATCTAATTCGATTCGACAGCATTAGGATTTTGAATATGTCACTATTTTACCAACTTAGTTGATTGACTTGAAACCTAGTTTAACCAGAATCATGTATTCTTTGAAGAAGAAAAAGATTTTTAGATGTTGTGCTTTGGATGCTGTCAAATACCTAACGTAGTTTATTAGAGTAGTGCAACTCCCTAATAACTGGACCACTGTAGAGTAGAAAATGGGAATGTTTCTCCCTTCTGCCTGACCACAGATTCCTTTTTTTTTTCAAATATCAATTTTTCTTTATCTAGGTGTAGAAGCAGGCAGCGCCCGCCGCGAGTTCCTGGCTTACTGCCTGTCGCTGCTTCGCGCTCACAGCTCCGAGCACGCCGAGCAGTTGCCAGTACTGGACGTGGCCGCGCTCAAGCACGTGGCCTACGTGCTGGACGCGCTCGTGTACTACATGCGCGCCGCGCAGCCCCAGCCGCACCACCACCAGCATCTGTGGACGCCGGTCAGTATTCAACCTTAACACCTACGACATAGAGTCGACTGCCTGTCGCTACTGCGTGCTCACAGCTCGGAGCACGCCGAGCAGTTGCCGGTACTGGACGTGGCCGCGCTCAAGCACGTGGCCTACGTGCTGGACGCGCTCGTGTACTACATGCGCGTCGCGCAGCCCCAGCCGCACCACCACCAGCATCTGTGGACGCCGGTCAGTATTCAACCTTAACACCTACGACATAGAGTCCACTGCCTGTCGCTGCTTCGCGCTCACAGCTCCGAGCACGCCGAGCAGTTGCCGGTACTGGACGTGGCCGCGCTCAAGCACGTGGCCTACGTGCTGGACGCGCTCGTGTACTAAAGCCTGGTCCGTGAGCACGTAGAATAATTATGTTGCTGTCGCGCTCGCACACTCACTGCGGGCGCGCGTCGCACAGTCGCGACAGCAATATAATTACGCGCGAGCGATAAGGATGGGTAGCTTGGGGTCATTGGACGGGATTCTACGTGCTCACGGACCAGGCTTTACATGCGCGCCGCGCAGCCCCAGCCGCACCACCACCAGCATCTGTGGACGCCGGTCAGTATTCAACCTTAACACCTACGACATAGAGTCCACTGCCTGTCGTGTTCCGCGCTCACAGCTCGGAGCACGCCGAGCAGTTGCCGGTACTGGACGTGGCCGCGCTCAAGCACGTGGCCTACGTGCTGGACGCGCTCGTGTACTAAAGCCTGGTCCGTGAGCACGTAGAATAATTATGTTCCTGTCGCGCTCGCACACTCACTGCGGGCGCGCGTCGCACAGTCGCGACAGCAATATAATTACGCGCGAGCGATAAGGATGGGTAGCTTGGGGTCATTGGACGGGATTCTACGTGCTCACGGACCAGGCTATACATGCGCGCCGCGCAGCCCCAGCCGCACCACCATCAGCATCTGTGGACGCCGGTCAGTATTCAACCTTAACACCTACGACATAGAGTCCACTGCCTTTCGCTCCTACACGCGCATAGCTCGGAGCACGCCGAGCAGTTGCCGAACCTTAATGTGCACAAAATAGAATCGGTTTTTGTACTACATCATCGCCGTGATACGCCGCCACCAGCACTTGTGAACGCCGGTCATTGTTCACATTGCTACCTGGACATTTGTATGAATGACACCGCAGGCAGAAGACTCGGGTTCTCGGTGTGATATCCGGCTCGAAGGACCAAAAAAGGTTTTAAATAAAATGTTAATGTAAATGCATTACACAATAAATACCACATATTAAATGCCTCTTTATCTTACTAGGATGAAAATGAGAACGAAGAGGGTGACGAGGAGATGGTAGTCGGCGGTGGGGCCGCCGCAGAATCAGACAGCGAGGGCGACGGGGCCCGCGGCCGTGGCCACGCCTTCTTCCAGAGGTCTGATTCCACGCTCTGCCTGGGATGCCCGCCGCCGGACCCATTCAATAGTAAGTTACATTATAAATAAAAGCTTTTTCAATATGGACACTATTTTTGTGGTTATGGCAGATGTGTTGTATAAGAAAAGTTGACAGTAAATTTTTAAGTGTGTTGCTATTAATAAGAAAATTGCTTTGAATGGTCAACGGTAGTTTAAAAATTTTTTTTTTTTTTTTTTCATTTATTGGGGTCAACAAACAGTTTACACAATGAATGCTTATTAGCTATATACAATTCTCTAAATCTAAATCTTCATTTGTGATCTGCCTGCAAAAAAAAAAGGCCCAAAAAGGAGAGTAACAAACGACTACCCTTTTGCATTTGTCGACTATTGCGAAGCGATTCAAATGTAACACGTTTTCTTTTAGTGACGATGCAAGACGCTCTACCGCTGGCGGATCAGCCGCAGCTACTCCAACCGAACGCGCGGCGCGAGGAGTTGTTTGGAATGCCGCGCCAGCCTGTTACCGTGCCGGCTAGTGGCGACGCGCCGCCCGGGGTCAACAATCCACTTGAAGGTAACTAACTTTTATCATAACTCACGCCAGATAACTTAGAGCGCCGTCACATTTGGGCGATTAAGCAGCGCGACAGACGCGCTGCCGAAAATTTCATACTAAAAATTCATAAGTTTTTAATCTATCCGTTCCACTCATTCATAGCTAAATCGCGACTTGGCTTGTCCATCTATCTGTCAAAATGTTAAATTGAAATATTATGTGAAAAATTTAAAAGGAAACTTTGTTTAGGCCTTATATGCCCAGGTATCTCCATGATTTGGTGACATAAAGCATTAGACTTTAGATTGCATTTATTACAATGAGCTTTTGTTTACAGTGGTCCCAAGGCGTCTGGGCCTATCGACGCGAGGAACCGACCGTGGCTGGTCTCCACCGGCGCGACCCGCTTCAGCCCCACCGACCCATTCACACACTTTGACCAGAGACGAACCACAGGTAAACATAAGAAAAGGAACTTGGGTGCGTTTGGCGGAAAAGTGTTTGGAAGCGACTACAGTTGTCGGCGAGGACACGTTTGCTAACTTCAATCGCTTCAATAGTGACGTGTTTCATTAATTTTTTAGCAGTGACAGCGCTTACCGCTTTGCGATTGCCATTTTGCTTACAAGCGCTTTTTCCGCCAAACGCACCCATTGTTATGACTTGGCTGTATGTTTGTTATAACTGTGATATACTAAAATACCGCAATTTCATTTTAGGACCTGTCCTGTGCTAAAGATACAACAACTAAAATGGATATAGACACAGATGGTGAATATTTGTCAGATTCAGATTCAAATGAAGCCAGACAGATTCCAAGGAAAAAGCATCATAGGTAAGTGAAAATTATTTGGAATAAAACCTAACCAGGATACTTGAATTTGTCGTAAACTTATTTACTGTTTCTAGGCACCCACATTCAATGGCAATGTCTTCAGGCAGTAGTTCCATGCAAGACACAAGTTCCCAACCATCAGAGTTCCACACATTGGTCAATACTGCCTGCTCGATCATAGAGGCGCCACACGAGCAAGCCATAGCTGCTTCACCATCACCGGGTAAATAAAACGAACCACATTTCATTAAACATTATGTAGTAGGTAATAAAGGTAAGTTTATCTTACTGCAGTCACAGGTGAAACGATTGTCATTTGTTTCGTCAACATTTCAACGGCATTGTTTCTTATCATGGCGTTTTGCATGAACGTCATTTGTTTTTTATCAAATGAAAGTTACAAGTTGTGTTAGCTAAAATTCTTACTATAAGAGGGAACATTCATATCAGTTACCCTTAATATTGTTTTGTATGTATTTATTGTTCAGTTTTGTGGTTCGCAGGCCCTAGCAGCAGCGGAGGCTCGGGCGAGCCGCGCGCGTCGTCCTCGCGCAGCCCTGGAAAGACTGTTATTGTACGTGCTGTAAGTCACTCCACTTATTTGGGGGACTTTTTATTATCAAAATTATTCCCTACTCCTTCAATTGGTTTTAACTTCAACTATATCAGACTATAGAATTAATTTCGTTGTCAATCACAACGAAAGTTTTGGCAGCTGAAGGTTCTGGTCTTGCCGGGAAACTTCATTCTGCATATTCGTAACAGTTGATTTTATACAGCATGGATTATTGTGTATTGTCTACTAACAGCGGCAATACGACATCATAACTAATGTATATGAGATTTAAAACATATTGTTGGACTATTTCCTCAGGGTGAGTTGTTGAGTGCCGCAGACCCGCTCGAATCTCAGGAGATATCCGCGCACGTGACGGTGGAGACCACAGGCCTGCCGCCGCCGCCGCTACTGCCGCCGCTCAGTGCACCCGCACCACCGTAAGTTTATAGTCATCCTGTATAAATGGCAAATGTACTGTTGTACATGTTTCATTGCCGTCCAAAATATTAATATACGAGATATATTGACATAAATTGATATTGGCAGAATGAATAAAAGTTGTTAATAATATTAACGGGACTATTTCTACCACTCATTCCGACTGCTTCACTGTGTTTTGTAGACACCACCGTTGACTATCAGTAAAAAAATACCAGTGAAAGCCAAGTTTGTCCCAGGGAAAAGTTAAGGCTGATTTCCCCCTATGTTGACGTCCGTGCCTACGAATATACACAACTGGTGGAAACTGTATACCACACTTCCTGTCAATGTCGCAACTAACTTCTTGCTCGAGCACCGCATTACCAATAACGTTTTTCCACCAGACGCGCGTGTCCCTCCTTTGGTGCATCAGTGTTACCACTACCCATTTTACCTGAAATTCGTTTTTCGAGCAACTCATGACCAATATTTTTATCCAACAGACGTGCGTGTCCCTCTCTCGGCGCCTCAGTGTCCCACGACCTACTACTAGGCCGCTGGCGCCTGTCCCTGGACCTCTTCGGGCGCGTGTTCACCGAGGACGTGGGCCTGGAGCCCGGATCTGTAGTAGCCGAGCTGGGCGGCTTCCCCGTCAAGGAGGTCAAGTTCCGCCGCGACATGGAGAAGCTCAGGAACTCGCAGCAGAGAGACCTGACGCTGCACAAGGTTTGTGTTGTCGAATATTGTTACTGATAGACAGCTAGTGTCCCTCTCTCGACACATCAGTGTCCCACGACCTACTGCTTGGCCGCTGGCGCCTGCCCCTGGAGAAGCTTAGGAACTCGCAGCAGAGAGACCTGGCTCTTTACAAGGTTTGTGTTGTCATATAATGTTACTGATAGATAGCTAGTGTCCCTCTCTCGGCGCCTCCGTGTCCCACGACCTACTGCTAGGCCGCTGGCGCCTGTCCCTGGATCTCTTCGGGCGCGTGTTCACCGAGGACGTGGGCCTGGAGCCCGGATCTGTAGTAGCCGAGCTGGGCGGCTTCCCCGTCAAGGAGGTCAAGTTCCGCCGCGACATGGAGAAGCTTAGGAACTCGCAGCAGAGAGACCTGACGCTGCACAAGGTTGGTGAAGTAGATGGTATTTTTGGAAAGTCTTTTGAAGAAGCTGATATGAAGTTTTTTTCACTGATAAATCACTAGGGTAGAATTTGTTATGTTTAGCAGGGAAAGCTGCTGAACTGAGATGAATATGTATTTTATTAACAGCTAAGTTCTTTAAATGAAGCAGTAGTGGTAGAATTCGGACATAGGCTTAAAAAGTACACTACCTAATTACTTAATTCGAATCGAGATACTTAATTCAAATGATTTATTACAATCATTTGGGAAGGCTTATCTCATCTGACCAGCCACTTTGATATGGATTTACTTCATGGTGAAACTTAATTTACAGACAGTACTATAGTTCTTAGATCGATTTGCCGTCTTCTGTAGGTGTATTTAGTTGTAATTTTCCCAATCGTTTCCCAGATGGAGCGTGACCGCGCGAAACTGCTGCAACAAACGTTCGCTGAGCTGAACAGTGCGTTCGCGGGGCAGAACCGCCGCGCCCACAGCGCTCAACCACCGCTGGCAGTCAATCGCGTCAAGGTCACCTTCCGCGACGAGCCCGGTGAAGGCAGCGGCGTCGCTCGGTCGTTCTACACTAGCGTTGCAGAGGTAATAGACTGAAGAATTATTATGCTTATCAGATAACCATCACTTATAGATCTAAAACCTGGACTCTACCAAAGGTGGAAGGGGGAGGAGATGGAGATGTGTTTTAAACATCCAATAGAATTTAGTTATTTACACATCTTGTTTCCACCACTTAACTTTTGCGGATACCCCTGAGCGGCGATGTATCATATTTGTATAGCAGTGGAGACGAGAAAGCTGTGCCTTTCACTTGCTTAATGGATAAAATCCTAGCTGACAAACATCTCGTATCGGCTATGGACATCTCCGCTCATCTTTTTGGTTGTTTCCGGACTATTGAGGTTTTCTTTAATTACCGTGAATTTAATTTATTTGAATTGTGTATTAACGTTCAAAATGTATTTCAGGCGTTACTAGCAAACGAAAAGCTGCCTCCGCTCGAACCAACCACTGGCAGCGGAAGCAGCAACAGCAGTGCCAACGGCGCGTCGGGAGCGGCCGGCACCGCTGCCGGCGGGGCCAGCAGCAATAGCGGAGCTAGGTACTAAACACATTCACCCAAATGTTTATACATTCTACCAATCTAATGGGCCCCTACCTGGGCCCTAATGGCCCTTTGGGTGACCTTGAGCCTTCTTATGAGGCCGATAGTAAGCGACCACTGATCTGATGAGTAAGTGTGACTGATGGATAGTAAGTGTCCGAAGGTCGCGGGAGGTCCTGGATGCGGGCGGCGCAGGACCGGTCTTTGTGGAAAACCTTGGAGGAGGCCTTTGTCAGACTGCATAAGATTGGGAATTCATTTATGGGGAAATGTATTAAATTATTTAATAAATTACCACAAACTGTTGTAGAACTACCCATTCATAAATTCAAAGCACATATTAGAAGTACCTTAATGAAAAAGGGCTACTATAAAGTCGATGATTATTTAAAAGATAAAAATGTTTGGGATGCGTAACTGCCTAGCTCGCATAAATATTTATAACTATGTATTTTGAAAACCTGTAAACCTTTGAAAAAGAGGCTGACAATAGTGTCTGAGTTTCTTGCGCTGCTTCTTCTCAGCACTGGCCCATTTATTGTCCTGAAGCAGTGGTAGGGTTAATACTGGGACGTGTAAAAGTGCTTTTTTAAAGCCTACTTACAGAAATGAATGAGTTTTACTGTCCAGCAGTGGACGTCTTTCGCCTGAAACGAACGAATGGGACCCTTCACCCTTGTTAAGCAGGGTGGTCTTTGTTAAGTACTCAAAACAAGGATCGATTCCACTGCTCAAATACAACAACAACTTTCCCTAAAGGGCTCAAAGTCGAATTCCTAAAAAATAAGCTATCTATACAAGACTTGTATAGATAGCTTATTTTTTACGAATTTGTATTACAAGTAGCCATCAGCAATCAGTTATTTATTATTGGAACATCAATATATTTTTTGAGGATATTGTTGGTCCTGTAGGAAAATTAGTTTTATTTGGAGCAGTTCAACCAATTTTGTTCGAGCTCTTACTTAAGAAACTCCCTCTATAATAATATCCTAACATAACAAATGACATTGCAGTCGAAGTGGCGCCGGTCGCGCGCGTTCCAAGGACACCACGAGGCGCACGCCCGGCCGGCCCGCGCCCAGGCCGCCGGCGGCTCGCGAGCCGAGACGAGTGCTCAGCATAGACGCCAGGCCGTATTCACCACAGGTAACATAACATAGCAGCTAGGGAGCATCATTTAGTATCAAGTTTAAAACATTTCTGTCCGGTTTCTGAGAGCTTGAGCGTGCTCAATTCAATTTAGAACCCGGGGGATAGTCTTCTTAAATAGCTAAGATCACCACGTATTTTTTTACAGGCTGCACCGGGCACAGAAGGCGCCGGTTACAGCGGCGAAAGACCAGTAGGACACAATGAACATCTCACACTTCATCAGGCACAACTTGGCGAACGATTATATCCAAAGGTAAACATTGGTTGCATTATAATCCTTAGTCTGCGGGCACGAAACTGGCGACGGGCCGAGCGATTGCGACAGCAGGGCGGCGCGGCACAGGGCGATGCATACAACAACATTATAGTGACGCGCACGAAACGGAGGCGATCGCAATACCCGCCGCTCCCTTAGTGCCCGCAGACTTATGCCCGTTTTCACCATCAATCCCTAATTTTTTAGCGACCCCTATGGTAATAAAATTCCTGTTATTTGTTACCATAGGGGCCACTTAAAAATTAGGGATTGATGGTGAAAACGGGCATTAATCCTCTTAGCTTTCTTACATTCATCGTCGCAGTTTGCGGTTAACCTAACGAGGTTTTAACGCAACAGACAAATCAGTTGCTGATTTTATTGTTTGTGTAGCATTTCTAGAATATATCCGTATGCACACGCTGCACCCGACGTCCTTTGGCAAGATCGTAATTAAGGGCGAGAGTTTCTGCCACTACACGGAAGGTTGCCCTTGTGTGTTGTAAATCTATGAACATTTAATCTAATTATGGTCTGGTCGCCGAGCACGTAGAATTTCGTCCAATGACCCCAAGCTACCCATCCTTATCGCTCGCGGGTAATTATGTTGCTGTCGCGCTCGCACACTCACTGCGGGCGCCCATCGCACAGTCGCGACAGCAATATAATTATAGAATAGAATAGAATTTCTTTATTGCGGTAAATGTGGTACAAAGTAGTGATAAACAATGAATGTTCGTTTCACACATCTAACCAACATTACGCGCGACATTCATTGGACAAAATTCTACGTGCTCGGAGACCGGGCTTTAGTATTGTAATAAAAAAATTCAGACGCAGTATCAATCTGTAACTTCTCTTACAGGTTCACTCGCTGCACCCGACGTTCGCGGGCAAGATAACCGGCATGCTGCTGGAGCTGACGGCGGCGCAACTGCTCGTGCTGCTGGCCAGCGAGGACGCGCTGCGGCAGAAGGTGCGCGAGGCCATGGACCTCATCGTCATGCACCCCTCCGAGGCGATACTCGGTGAGTACAAACGTGAAGGGGGATGATGTGACAACCCTAAAGGCTGATTTACACGTATTATGTAGTTATGTATTTAACTTCATTCCAAACGTCAAGCTCTTGTTTAAAGATGAACTACACTGAACTGTCCTTTATTTGACACTGACAGGAGGGCCACCGTCAATAGCAGATCGCTAGTTCCGACTTTTGCCACGGTGGAAACGTGGTGGAAACCATGTAGTTGAACGAAGATGGTGGCGCCCTTCTGTCAATTTCGTCGGTGGGACATTTCGGTGTAGTTCATCTTTATCATGAAACTGCTTGTCAAAATGTGTCAAGTGACAAGCCCCGCCCACCAATATGACAGAAAAATCAAGTTATTTAGTTACTTACTTATTTACTTCGTGTAAATCAGCCTTAACGTTAGACGGTGGACTAGTTGATCGAAGCGAATACCCTAAAGCTTGAAAGTGGCCTGGTTGATCAGAAAGATAATTATTCTGCAAGTTGATAGATTTTTATTTCTGACAAATGCAAGTGGCCACGATTTCGATAAATTGTCCTATGATCAAAGATATCAATCTTAACTACCATTTATACTACAAATGTAAGCTTATCGATAAGTTAATTTATGTAACATGTATTTTCTTACATTAAACACTATGTCATACCATCAAAGGAGATACTTACAGAATTTTTTAGTCTCGTTTATTGTTAATTGATAGTTGAAAATGTGTTTAAAAAAAGTAATAACGTATTTATTTCCAATGTATTTATGTAATCCGATTGTTATCCTGTGTCTCGGTTATCCTGTCTTTCTAATATATTAGTGTCCTCAAATTCAAACGATTCAACTATACGCCCATACTTCGTGTCCGTTCAAGGAGCCTCTTCACCGAGACTACACATTTTTTTATGAGCATAGCATGCTTCAAGCAATTTTATGTATTTATTTATCATTATAATCTCAAGTTTATTTATGAAATATTACACGAGTCATTTGGGAAATGACATTTACACACTGGACCAGATTAGACAAAATCAAGCCCTGTGTTTTGTTACCTTATAATGGACAGTTGATATTTAAAGAACAAAATGCCGCTGTTGCAAATAAACTGTGACGGCGATAACGCATGCTTGGGTCGGCGATTGCTCGTTTGTGAGGACGCTCCACGGACGCGGCTCCAATATAAAACGAGGATCGTTTGGCACAGATCTGGACGTATTCTCACTATCAGAGCGCGGCGGCGGCGGCGGCGGCGGTGGCGGCGGCGGCAGCGGCGGCGCGGGCGCGGGCCCGTCGGCGCAGAGCGCGCCGCAGGACGACGCCGCGCCGCTGTTCTACTCGCCGGGCAAGCGCGGCTACTACTCGCCGCGGCAGGGGCGCGCCACGCCGGAGAGGATCAACGCTTTTAGGAATGTCGGCAGGTATGTTTACAAGCTTTTGACGCAAAAGGCATGAGAGTGATGCCATCTTTGTTGATCTTCCTGAAGAACATTTATTCGTTACCATACCCATCATAATACCTTGCAATTTGGTACCTTTCTTGTTTAGTGTAATAATAGCAACCAAATTTTTCCGATGCCAAATGCTACGTAGCGTCTTAATGTTGTGGTACCAGGAACAGGACAGGTACCAGGAATTTTCATGATTCCCATGTTTATTTCCGGCTTGGCTTCACCTATCTTACAGGACTTTTCTGACTTCTCGTTGCTACCGCTGCAACTAACGTATAACCAGGATTTACATACAACTTGACTGCCATATAACTGCTTGTTACAAAACGACATTTTAACAAGTGATATCTTCAGTGCACTCAAAGCCACTGTTAGACTTTAATGTCGGCCGTTTGGTGCAGTGGTTCAGAACGGACTACTATGCCGAGAGGTCCCGGGTTCGATTCCCGGCCGGGCAGAAATTGAAATGATGAATTTTAATTTCTGTGACGGGTCTGGGTGTTACTATGTATAATATGTATGTATTTAAAAAAAAAGTATATAAGTAGTATATCCGTTAAGCTAGCACCCATAACACAAGCATATTAATTGCTTACTTTGGGGCTAGATGGCGCTGTGTGAGATTGTCCAAAGATATTTAATATAAAAACTTGATCTCCGTAGAATCGTGGGGCTGTGCCTGTTACAAAACGAGCTGTGCCCGATGTTCCTGAACCGGCACGTGCTGAAGTACCTACTGGGGCGGCCCGTGCGCTTCCACGACCTGGCCTTCTTCGACCCCGTCGTGTACGAGAGCCTGCGACAGCTCGTCGTGGACGCGGAGACGGGCGACTCGCACTCGCTGTTCGCCGCGCTGGATCTCAACTTCAGGTGAGCATGATTGTGACGCTTCCACGACCTGGCCTCCTTCGACCCCGTCGTGTACGAGAGCCTGCGACAGCTCGTCGTGGACGCGGAGACGGGCGACTCGCACTCGCTGTTCGCCGCGCTGGATCTCAACTTCAGGTGAATATTACTGTGACGCTTCCACGACCTGGCCTCCTTCGACCCCGTCGTGTACGAGAGCCTGCGCCAGCTCGTCGTGGACGCGGAGACGGGCGACTCGCACTCGCTGTTCGCCGCGCTGGATCTCAACTTCAGGTGAATATTACTGTGACGCTTCCACGACCTGGCCTCCTTCGACCCCGTCGTGTACGAGAGCCTGCGCCAGCTCGTCGTGGACGCGGAGACGGGCGACTCGCACTCGCTGTTCGCCGCGCTGGATCTCAACTTCAGGTGAATATTACTGTGACGCTTCCACGACCTGGCCTCCTTCGACCCCGTCGTGTACGAGAGCCTGCGCCAGCTCGTCGTGGACGCGGAGACGGGCGACTCGCACTCGCTGTTCGCCGCGCTGGATCTCAACTTCAGGTGAATATTACTGTGACGCTTCCACGACCTGGCCTCCTTCGACCCCGTCGTGTACGAGAGCCTGCGCCAGCTCGTCGTGGACGCGGAGACGGGCGACTCGCACTCGCTGTTCGCCGCGCTGGATCTCAACTTCAGGTGAATATTACTGTGACGCTTCCACGACCTGGCCTCCTTCGACCCCGTCGTGTACGAGAGCCTGCGCCAGCTCGTCGTGGACGCGGAGACGGGCGACTCGCACTCGCTGTTCGCCGCGCTGGATCTCAACTTCAGGTGAATATTATTGTTACAGTAACTGTAGACCAGGGTTCGAAAATATCCGATATTTATTATAAATATCAAAATATCGGATATTTATGATATATATCCGATATATATCAACTTTGATATATATCAATTTTGTATGAAAGCCATAGTATTATTTTATTGTATTATTCATGAATACTATTGCATATGTGTTACATAAACATGTTTTTAATGTTATTAAAACTTAAAATCAGACAAATAAAGCAAAAACATAAAATATCTTTGAAATACGGCAAAATCAACAAAAAAAATAAAAATCTTATGTCAAAAAGTACAAATACAGTAACAAATTTTAAAAGTTGATATATATCATCAAAACCGGCTTGATATATATCGGATATATATCCGATATATATCTTGATATATATCCCTTGATATATATCCTCGAACCCTGCTGTAGACAGGATCGGTCTTTGTGGAAATCCTTTGTCCAGCAGTGGACGTCTTTGGGCTGAAACGAACGAACTGTAGACGTAGCTGTCCCCTTGCGGGAAGCGACAGGAACTTTGAGAATGACAGAAATAGTTGAGTGACCCGGCAAATCTCACTAAAAACCCTCTGGTATAGTTTGCAGAACCTCTGTTCTGAACTAAATCGACAATGTGTTATATTAATGGGTGTTCTGAGATTTGTTTATAAAATTTCCTTTATTAATGCATTGTAATAAAAAAAGTAAAGCCAGGTCTCTAGCGCATGTTTTGCCTTACACAATCAACCAAAACCTCAGATCATAGAAAGAGAATAGATATGAAGTCGCGCGTAACCACAACGAGAACCAATGTCCCCACATTTCCCCCACCACAGCTCCCACACACACATTCAACTGTGTAAAAACAAAGCGACTGAGAGTCTACGACAACATGTGCAACCGGCTTAAAAGTGCTGTGATTGGCCAGAAGGCGTGCCTTATAGCCAATCAATGGCCGCGTGACGTGACGCACACATTGAAAACGCTAGTGAGAGAACAAAGATAAAATGGAGTCGACAAGATATCGATACTTTAAATCGCTAGGGGCAAGGTTCGAAACTGTTTTCACAAAATGCTTATGTATGAAAACCTTTTTATTATTATACATTATTATTAACTACTATCACGCATTTACTTTTTAATTATGGCGATCTGCGTACCGCATATGTTTATCAAAAATAATGCCTATATTAGGCTTTCAACTAGCTCTTATAGTAATTACATAGTTGACAGTTACTAATTACTTCTACTGTTTTTTTTTTTTTTTGTAAAATTTTATAATTGCAAGTAATACATCATTTTTTATTTAAAATTACAAAATAGTAAATTCAATTTACTTCTATTTATCGATAATAGGAAACCGCATTAGAACACGAGCACGGCACTATGTTACGACCGGCACATGCGGCCGTACTGTGTATTTTCACACGACAGTNNNCAAGTAACACATCATTTTTTTATTTAAAATTACAAAATAGAAAATTATAATTTACTTCTATTTATCGATAATAGGAAACCGCATTAGAACACGAGCACGGCACTATGTTACGACCGGCACATGCGGCCGTACTGTGTATTTTCACACGACAGTGGATATCGGAAGAAATTAAATACATTGCGCAGTAGTTGAGCATAACATAAAGTGGTTGCTAACTAAATCGTCAATGTACAAGTGTGTTAGAATTTTTATCACCACTGATTTCGATATCGCAGTAACTGTTACGGCACTGAATTCGTTCGTAAAAATGTTTAGTTTTTTTTATTTATAAGCAAAATACCAATGGATTTGCAATACTTACATGTAGTAAATGACTCCATTGTTCCTGTAGTTCTTCGTTTCACTTGTTTTATTGCACGTAAAGACGCATTATCCAAAATATCGGAGAACATTTCGTTAGTACGACTGAATCGCGACTAACCTAGCTACGCGGCCGATGTTCGTTTCTGGGCATATCGCGGAGACACGCGCCACGCCCCCGTTTCACATCTATTCCCTTCTATGATCTGAGACCAAAACATGTCGTCTACATTTTGTGTAGGATATCTTGTTGAATGTTGACATGTTCTTGTTGATTGTGTAGGGTAAATCACCATCTTGGTCTCAAGACCAAGATGGTGACTTCAGACTAAGCCGGTAAGTTTGAACATGAGCTGCCATAGGCATCTGACATCAGATATCACGTGATTTCTACAATAGATGATGAAAGAAAAGTGGGGATTTTTGTTATTGTTTTATTATATTATTATAAGTTTTAAAACGATTGTTCCGTTTGCAGTTTGGAAATGTGCGAGGAGGAAGGCGGCGGCTGCGTGGAGCTGGTGGCGGGCGGGCGCGAGCTGGAGGTGACGGCGCTCAACGTGTACGACTACGTGCGCAAGTACGCGCAGCACCGGATGCTGCTGTCGCAGGAGAAAGCTTTAGAGGTACGCATTTTAACAGATAATGTGACGTGGACTAGACCTAGAATTAGCTCTAAAATTTAGCAGTTGACTATCTATATCAATAATTTCAAGGCACACCATTTTTAAAAGAATAAGCTTTCACATACCGTAAAATACAGGGTGTCCCGTAATGCATAATGTGTGATATTTAAAAAAAAAAACAATAACGGAAGAGCAGTCCACACACACATGTCCCTGTGATAATATAACCACCCAATCAATGTTGCATCTCGTTCAGGACTGCCCAAGATTTCATTCAACAAGACTTAGCCATAATATAGTTTGCCAAATTTACAACATCGACCCATTCAATTTCCAACAAGTTATAACCAAGCAAGATTCCATAACAACATTTACCACCCACATTGAAAACATAGTTAGCAACCTAAAATCTTTCAACAATTAAAATTCTAAATCACGTAGGAGAGAGCAACGCGTAAAACGATAGCGCCGCGCTCTCTCTGAAATTAAAAAATGCCCAAATTAAAAAAAAAAAAATGGAAGAGCAGTCGCCCAGCAAGCGAAAGGTCGTGGTTTAGATTTCCGCCCTAGCAGTTTGATTTTTTCAAGTTATTTATAATAATGGTCATTTGAGTTGGCAAATCTATGGAATAGCCACGTTCTGACATCTCTAAAAAACGGTGGTGTCAACTACCCTATTGCCAGGAGTAGCAAGTCTATTTTTAGTAATTTTTACCATTGCTAATATCTACTCATCTTTTTAGGCAATGCGTGTTGGTGTTCTCGATGTGCTACCCGAGTCGGCGCTGGAAGGGTTAACGGCTGAGGACCTGCGCCTGTTGCTGAACGGAGTGGGCGACATCAACGTGGCGGCGCTAGTATCCTACACTAGCTTCAACGACGAGAGCGGGGAGCCACCGGAGCGACTCGCGCGCTTCAAGCGCTGGCTCTGGGCCATTGTGGACAAGATGACGCATCTGGAGAGGCAGGACTTGGTGAGTGTGTTCAGATAACGGTTGTTACAAGCTCCATCAACGTGGCCGCGCTGGTGTCGTACACTAGCTTCAACGACGAGAGCGGGGAGCCACCGGAGCGGCTCGCGCGCTTCAAGCGCTGGCTCTGGGCCATTGTGGACAAGATGACGCATCTGGAGAGGCAGGACTTGGTGAGTGTGTTCAGATAACGGTTGTTACAAGTTCCATCAACGTGGCGGCGCTAGTGTCGTACACTAGCTTCAACGATGAAAGCGGGGAGCCACCGGAGCGGCTCGCGCGCTTCAAGCGCTGGCTCTGGGCCATTGTGGACAAGATGACGCATCTCGAAAGGCAGGATTTGGTGAGTGTGATGAGCCATGAATGGAAATGAGATTTTTTCAGAGCCGTGTGGTGACGGCAGAGTAGAATACATTTGTCACCAACCCCTACTCTTCCCGCGAGTGTCGTAAAAGGCGATTTAGGGACTACACATCAAACAGAGAACGGGCAGCAGCGCTCTCTGAAAAACATCAATCTTTTAAACTGCGATCTCCAACCCGCCTGCTAAGCGTGGGGATTATGGCAAAACCCTCCCCTATAGTGGAGGAGGCTCATAGTCCAGCAGTGGACTGTAAAGGGCTGTTGATGATGATGATGATGAATACATTTTTAAATCCAATTCATATTAGATGTTAGAAAGTTTTCCTTTTTTTCCAAACGCCAGTATAAAGCAATGGTCTTAAAAATCTGTTTTTCGTGCAGGTGTACTTCTGGACCGGGTCGCCCGCGCTGCCGGCGTCCGAGGAAGGCTTCCAGCCGATGCCGTCGGTGACGATCCGGCCGGCCGACGACGCACACCTGCCCACCGCCAACACCTGCATCTCACGTCTGTACATCCCGCTCTACTCCTCACGCCACGTGCTCAAGCACAAACTCCTGCTCGCCATCAAAACTAAGAACTTCGGTTTCGTCTAAATGATCGCTGCCATTGTTATTATATATTCCTTTAGTTGTAAGCCCAGTTATGTAAGACTGTCGTTATGTTCCAAACGGCTCATCCGGCTGGGATGAGCGACTCTATTTTATGGAAGCCATAACCCTCCTCTTAGAGTAAATCTATAGGTACTTACTAGTACGCAACTTACACAGCTGTATGTTTTGTATTTTTCTTTATGCATGTTTGTCAATGCGTTTACATGACTGGGTATATTTGACTGAATAGTAATATTCAATACGCAGTAATATTTCGTTCAAGGAGAGTAACCGTCGGAAAGGTCTGCACAAGTACATGTAATTTTTAAACTTTTAAGCTCATAGACCATAAGTATTTAATTGATGAAGAACGATACATAAATCATTATTGCAGAACGATCTACAGATTACTAGTTGAGTATAATCATAAATCATTACGTATTTACTTTTCTAATTTCATTATTTAACCTTCCTACACTTATTGAAGTAATGGCCTAATTTAACTAATTGCATTTGTTTGCTTGTCTCGTTTATTTATTATCGGACGAAAGTTAAAAGGCAGCGTGACTCATGAATATTCAAAAATATTTGTAACTGTTTATATAGCTTTGTTATATAGTTAAAATTATATAAGATAAATAATAATATGATGGGGTAATACTGCTACGTCATGGGTAAGCTTGGGCAGAGAGGCGTTAGATCCGAGCTGCGGTGGTTTTGTGATATCAGAGGAAGTATTTATGCGCCTCAATTTCTAAATTTAAGTTTATAATTAGATTTTGACTTTGATTAGTTGTATTAAGGTTCATAATAAACAATCTCAAAATGCTTAAATCGTTTTTTCATTATATTTCTTAGCACCCACTTTAAATCAAAACCCTCCCATACTTTCAGAAGACACATGCAATACAGCAAGCACTATAACAGCTCACAGATGTAATCTATACTATATAAAGCTCGATTCCTACTCACTCACTCACTCACTGATCAGGGGTATTTTTGGGGTATTTAGAGGGGAGAGGGGTAAAATTGTGAGTGTTTGTTTTTAACTAGATTTTTCAACACGCAGGTTTTTTAGATTTTTTGAACCAAAAAACAAAATGGCGGCCTTTTTTGAGACACCAACTTTTTTGTCTTTGGTCCTGAATTTTTTCTTTTTTGGTGGTTTGTTGGGGTTGCCAAGATGTGTTAGAAAAATTGAGAAAAAATTAGAAAAACAAAATGGCCGCGCCGCCATCTTGGATTGAAAATGCGATTTCGGGGTGTTTTTGGGGAGGTGTCATTCCGAGATGCGCCATTGTTTTTGAAAAATTCTTTTGAGTGTTTGTGACTTATATAGTCTGCTTCAGAGCCCCATTCACAGAATATCAAAAAACAAGATGGCGGCTGAGCCGTCGGCCATTTTGTTGCGATCAAAAAATTCCCAAACTTTGACACGAATTTTCCGGTAGATGGCGACACCGGAGTGGGGTACAATGTTACGGGCGATTGTTGGTCTGTTATTCGAGTGTTGCCATGAATCGGAAAAAACTACCATTTTGGAAGAAAATTTTCCACCACGGCCCCGGATAGTAGAAAATGGAAATTTCCAAAAATTCCATAAACTTGGTATGCAGTCTGGTGACATTTGGGGACCCGAATGACATTTCACCATTTTTATGAAAAAAGTCTGGCAACACTGAAAGTTATGGGGAAAAGTTTTTTTTGCGACATGGGTGTCTTTAAAGTTAGTGACAGACAGAAATAATTATGGCAGAAAAAAAATAAAAATGACGTTTGGTCGCATATACGACCTAGATTATGGGAAAAATCCGAAATGTCAAAAAATCAAGATCGCGGCGGCGTGGGCGGCCATTTTGTGAAAAGTTGAAAATTTCGAAATTTTGGAATTCATTTTTCGAGTAGTTGGCAACACTTTGGAAAGTCGAGTTGTATGAGGCGGTTGTGTGTCCTGTTGAGAGGTTTTGCTTGGGTGAAGAAATTTCTCCAGTGTTGCCACACTTTGGGAGATTTGGTCCAAAAATGTCGAAAGTAGAAATAACGACTTCCGGTCGAAAATTGGGATGACGCCTCCTGCAAAAGGGTCGTGCAAATGACATTTGACCATTTTCATCTCGATCACCTGGCAACACTGGGAGCTACGGGGAAAAGTATTTTTTTCGACATGGGTGTCTCTAAAGTTAAGGACGGACAGAAGGAGATATGGCAGGGAAAATCCAAAAATGTGGTTTGGTCAGTTATACGACCCAGACTATGGGAAAAATCCGAAATGTCAGAAATTCAAGATGGCGGCTGAGCGGGCGGCCATTTTGTAAAAAGTTTCAGATTTTCGATTTTTCAAATGCATTTTTCGGGCAGTTGGCAACATTTGAGAAAGTCGGGTTGTATAGGGCGATTACGTAGTTTGTCAAGGAGTATCGTTTGGGAAAACTAAAATTTCCAGTGTTGCCATACTTTAAGAGTTTTGGTCAAAAAATGTAAAAAAAGGAAATAACGACTTTCGGTCAAAAATTTGGATGACGCCTCCTGCACATAGGTCCAACTAATGACATTTGACCAATTTCATCTCGATCACCTGGCAACACTGGGAATTACGGGAACACAAAATTTTGTGACATGGGTATTTTTAAGGCGTTGCTCCTCGGGACTGGGTGAGGATAGAAAAAAAGTAAAAATGGGGTTCGGCGCGGAAAATGGTCCAGATTAAGGCAAACATGCAAAATTTTGGAAATCCAAGATGGCCGCCAAGCGTTCACCCGTTTTCCTAAAGGGACTAAATTCTCCATACAAATTGTATGCAGGGGGCTTAGCTAACGTAGAAAAAGGCGAGGCCGAAGGCCGAGCGATAGTTTAAAGCCTGTGAGTCGCCATAGATTTATTTTTAATGCGTCAAAAAAGGACAAGAGTCCAGTGACAGACAGAAAGGCGAGGCCGAAGGCCGAGCCATAGTTCAAATCCCGACAGTCGCCATAGATTTNGACTAGAGCCCAGTGACAGACAGAAGGCGAGGCCGAAGGCCGAGCGATGGTTCAAATGCCGAGAGTTACCATAGTTAAACTTGTGTTGCGTCAAAAAAGCAAAAGAGCCTTGCGACAAACGCGAACGCCCCCTGTAATTTTTGCGAGGCCGAAGGCCGAGCTCCGAATGCGAGGCCGCAGGCCGAGCGCCGCGTAGGGCGAAGCCCGGAGCGGCCAGCATCGCAGATCTAGCTTTTGTAGCCCGCGTAGCGGGCGACCAAAGCTAGTCTATTTATACAGGTTGACTTTAATTTAGAGCATATTCTTGTATATGGACACTCATATGCAAAAGTGAACCATTATTGAAAAAAAATAGACCTTTATAGGACAAGAAAAAGAATCGGTATCATTTGAGCTTTTCCTTGTTCCTTAAGTTTTTAAATTATTATCCTGGATTTAAAAAAAATATATAATGGTTCACTTTTGCATACGAGTGTGTCCATATACAAAAATGTTGCGAATGACTACTACACTCGCGAGCAAAAGTATGGAATCACTTGCATGAAATTGTTTCCACGCGATCTTGTGTACTAACTAATTTGTTAGTAACAAAAAAAGTGGCACATTTTAAAGATTAAACTTTAATTTGATAATAAATTCATTTAAATCACATCGGTATTTAAAAAGATATCCCGGCTGATGTGAAGAAGTAAGGAAAAAGACAAGTATCAACTGTTTGATACGTCGCGAGTTGCGGCCTATTTACTCCCAATAAAAGCACGTGTTTTTGGATTTTTGCTTTCACACGTTGATCCTTACACATCTCCGCTTCTTTTGACACTTTACCTGGGATATTACACCTACGGAAGCAGCACAAATCGTTGCACTATTGCTAGAATGGCTCAGCCAGCGGTCTGTCGCACGTCAGTGCCACATAAGCCAGTCCTGGGTTTCGAAAGTTTTTAAGACGCTTTCGGGAGACGTGGCTTTATTCCGAGACCAAGATCTGAACAGCGCCGGTGCATATCGCAGAGGGATGACCGTTTTTTCATGTCAACCTCTCTATGAAATCGTCATTTGACTGGTATCGACGTCCAGTAAGAGCTCAGAAATGTTCGTAGGATAGCTGTTAGCGAGTGGACAGCTCGTCTAAGATATAAGCAATAGAATTTGACACCAAAAAGGCCTGCCACAGGCTCGAAACTGACGGCAGGTCACCGATAAGCACGCCTCCAATTTGTTCGCACACATTTTGATAGAAGACATCAGCCGGGATAACGTACGGCGCGACGCTCGCAGCCAATGTGTTAAATACCGGTGTGATTTAAATGAATTTGGTATCAATTTAAAGTTAAAAGTTTAATCTTTAAAATGGTGCTACTTTTATTGTTACCAACAAATAGTTAGTACACAAGATCGCGTGGAAACATTTTCATGTAAGTGATTCCATACTTTTGCTCGCGAGTGTACCCCTTCCCTCCCTTACTAGATTATGCTCTAATTCCAAGACACCCTGTCTATCTATTCTTGTATTAATTTTTACTATTTTTATTATATTGGCTATGAAAAGCAATCGCTACATTTATAGTTCATAACTTCAATGTAGGTAATCCTGATAAATAGATGGACCTTTGTAAAAGTTCTGTTAGGAAAATTCATAGGAAGGGGCACTCGCATTCATAATGTTCTTTCAACAATCTACTGAATAAAAGATTCAAATTCAACATTGTAATTTATTTATTGTATAAAAATAATGTAACAGCTCTACATACCGTATGTACTATTAAGTAATTTGTATAATATGAACACACTTTTTATTACCTTACAAAGAAATAATAAATGTCTGGGCATTTAATTAATGGAAGAAGCTACAATGACTTAGGTCTTTGTATGTAGTTTGTTGATCCTGCTTTCTAATAATCCAGTTTTAAAATGTAACTTACATAGTTTCTTTTCACATTATCTTAAAATAGTGACTTTTAACAACTTAAGTAAAACAGCAAAAAATACATAGACTTAAGAATTTAACCTACTTTATAACATTACTGTACTTTAGAGGCTATTTTTAATTCAGCAGACAATTTTTTGTACACTCCATAAAGTACAGACAAATGACAAACATGTAACAGGGCACTTGTTAGGTTAGTGCTTGGGTATGTATTCCAACACAGTTCAATGAGGGCTAAAATTAGAAATCTTACTATTACAGAATAGTTTGTGGACCATAAAAGATAAGGCAAACTATGGAAATACCATGAGTAAAACTGATAATGCAAACTCCTGGCACATACAATACCAATAAAGTTCACAATAAACATTGGGAGAATAAATAGTTGGGATAGTATATCAAAGTCTATGCTATAATGAGTTTCCTCGTTGTCTAATTGTTTCTTTGGAACCTTCTTTGTACCCTTGTGAGAGGATTTTTTTAACATTGACTCAAATGAATTCAGGAAATCTTCTTGCTCCTGGGTCAGTGTTTCTTCTTCAGTTTTCTTATTTAACTTTCTTTTGGCTTCTTTGTTCAATTTTGCTTTCCGCTTATTTTCAAGATTTTTAGCATCAATCTGTGGTTGTACTTGTTTTTGCACATATTTGAGTCTACAATAACTTCTGAAATATTTTATGCACATGGGCAAAAATATGATTAGTAGCATTATATGTATCCCCAGAAGTGTGAGGTGAAAGCATTTACTTTCAAACATATCTATCTCTAAGAATCTATAGTTTACAGTCCATGTGTGGTTGAAAACACGTCCCAAGTCAAAGCTTCCTTTTAAATATGCCATCGGTGCACTTATCAAAAAAGGCAAGCCTAAAACTAATTGTAATAGACCACACACAAAAAGTTGTTTTATGGTATTTTTATACCCCAAGTTGACAAGATAAAAGAAAAAGAGAGCAGGAGCATACAAAATAATATTCATCTTAACTGACACACCCAAACTATACATTATACTTCCTAAATACCATTTAGAATCTAAGAAAAAGTTCAGAGATGCATACAAAAACAGTACAGCAATTGGATCATTAAATAAACGTAAAATATGAATAGAATGTATTCTGTACGAAGTGAGAATCGTTATCACTAGGACATATGGAGGCACTTTTTTAGTTTTTATATAAATTCGTAACACAAAACAGAGTTGCAACAAATAGATGCCAATAAAAATATACTGTGCTAGCTTAATATTTTCACCTTGATTTGTAAGGAAGTAAAATAAAGAATATATGTAGACAAAACCTGCTGGATAGACTAACGGACCAGTGTCGCCGCGTAGCTTGCTGTAGTCTAGCGTACCATTCAAAAACCCTTCGCATTCCTGCATGTATGCTTTCCAGTCAATTTCTGTATAAGGCACTCGTTCTACAACCATTAAGTTGATTACCAGTTCTGCGATGATGATGAGCAAAGCGACCAAGGGTAACTGTGCTGGATTGATAACCAGGCCTTTCAAATAGGACCATGTAAACATCTTTTTGATATGTCGATGGTAGAACTCTTGAATATTATTGCTACCGGCCATTATGAAAGTTGTGGGATTGGAGATTATGCATTAATATATTACACACTTAATAATGCATTAATGCTGAATATAGTTAGAACAAGCTAAGCTGAAATATTATCTATTTTAAGAATAGGTCAGAGCACCGGCCGGTCCCAATTTTAGACACCCACCAGCAGCCAGCAATTTTATGACATTGACAGTAATGACAGATACTGGCTAGTTGTCATTTGTCAGCCAAAGATAACGTAAATCCGAGATAGAATAATCACATTGTAAGTCCCTCAATGAAAGTTGAAGCGAACACATTTATTGGTCGCGCACGAAAAGTTGAGGTGAACACATACTTTAATATGAATACAGCAGAATCTCTGAATAAGGGAGTCAGAATAGTTCGCCGTACTACAGTCTTAGTCCACAATACATAGAGGAATTCCATATTATTATGACCAATTGTGACCAATGGAGAGGAGGCGTGGCGTGGAGTTCTCACCTTCTGTGAGACAGTCATGTCACAGAAGGAAGCGGCGGAGAGGGAGCGGGAAGCATCACCTGACGCACCCATTGCCCGCCGCCGACGTCATGGGCACAGAAGGAGGCTCTATGACCTCCATCTGCCCCTTCTTAATAGGCATCGGCCATCAGATACGGGGGTGTCTGGTGGCGTCTAAAAGGGCCGCGTAATAATCGCTCTTGGTTTGGGGCTGCGCACTGCGAGCCTGCGCGATGCCGAGCAGGGAACGCGGACGAATGCTTGAGGCAAAACGCCAATAATGATGTCCCGCGTTCCCGACTCATATGGCTACCGAGGGCAACGTCAGGTTTTTAGTGGGTAGGCCCTGCCCTTCTGGCAGGGTGAACCCCACATAACCCACTAACTGCCCCCGCGGCTGTTATACAAATTAATGTATTTTCCTGACGAAAAAAAAAGTTCGCCGTACTACAAAGAAGAATAAAATTCTTATTTTGCATTATCTGTTTTTAAATAAGACTTATTTTTTAAAAGATGAATAGTACGAATAATAATAATAATACCAATACGGACGCCTTTTAATTAAAACTATCATTTACTGAAATACCTATGTATTTAAAAAACATTAGGTACCTACATAGTGGGCTACAGTTCCAACAAGACATTTCCGGTTATATGGTACCGGAAATTGGTAGCTCCAGAGTAGCTCACGTAGGTATGTACTATACATACAGGGTAGGGTGTAGGGTAAAAACTTAATTAAGTCTAATAATAACATCCACGATGCGAATTGAAAGCTTTCTCTCACTGATGCGCACTCGCTCTCTTCGTCGCGCGACTCCTCGTTTGGAAATCGCTTACAGTGTGAACAATCTTTATGTTTATACTATGTACCCATGGACCACACTGGACCCAAATAGGTGGATTATTAATTTGAACATAGATTTTGCATGCCGTAATATTGGTAAAATGTGAGTATAAATATTTTGTAATTGTAACACCTATGTAAACCACATTTTAAGCAAATTTTATTTATTTATTTATTAAACGTACTGCGCACATTGCACCGATTTGATATCGGCCGATTCTTCATTACAAATTAAAATCGGGCCCAACTATCGGCCGACTAAAAGTCGGTGGTGTAGGCTAATTCTACAACAATAATAATCGTGGGGTTTTAACGTTTGATACCACAGTCTTTATAAAATTAGGGATTTTCATAAGCACGTTAATCCATTATTAAAAATAGGCGTATAATAGGATTGCCAGTTAGTAGGACGTGTGAATAATTGTAAAACCTACTAACACAAATGATAACAACATTGACCCATTAACTGTTTTTTAATTATGAATCTAATAACCGTCTTATAAAGATAAAATTAAATTGCCGTAGCATTAAATTGCTTCGGCGAGGTACTAGGTATACATTTATTTTTAAATCTATTAATTCTACTACGTCATATAAATATTGAAACTGGTAAAACCCTTAAAAGACGATTAGGTATAACAACTATAACTAGAGCAATAAAAGGTTAAGCATTGATATTATTTATTTACTTTAGTTTTTTTTTGTAAAACTGTCACTAGTGGTCGTCGACAGCAGTCGGGGGTAATGGGGCTCCTCCAAAATTGTATACGGTCGGTACCAACATTAGAAAGAAGTCAATCTCCCATTTACCAGCTGCGCGAGAACATACACGAGCCTCCACTTACAAATCTTTTCTTCTTCTTTTGTTAAAGGCGATGATATTGTTTTATCGCCTCTATGAACTCTGCTAATGTAGGTAATGTAGGGTACCTACTTACCCAAGGCAAGCTCACGACCACAAGCACAGAAAAAGTAATGGTACCTAATAGTACCAAGCCACAAGTGCCAGATTTACTTAATCCCGCCTATAACATAAGCCGCAGAATGCCGCAGATATAGGTAATCACGATAAAACAGGCACTCATTTACCCTGCAGTTCATTGCGGTAAAGGTTAACAAAACAAGAAAACATAAGGTTTTAAAATGGATCTTCTAAAAATATGCTTGGTTGCCGTAGGTGGATCGTCATAAACTTTCTAAGCCCTTACTTAGTACATTATAATTTAATTGATTAAACTTTACGTTTAGATCAATAAACTGAAATAATAAGCAGTTACCTAATTTACTATTAACTACGAGTATTACGTCAGTTCATCTTACTGTGAATGGAACGTTCATTTCTAGGTCGTTGCATTAATTAATCACCACAAGATCACTGGTGCTGCCTGCAATCGACGTCATTGATCTGATTTATGTCTAGATCACGCACCGTTCTACTACTTATAGTTACTTACTGCGGCCACGGGAATCTTCTCAGTTACGCGCCGTGGCGAACCCTGCCTTTGCTCTTGGAGTGGGCAAGTCATACACAGCTAACAGCTTCTGGCCCTAGGGGTATAAGTCAGATTGTATGAACTAGCTCCTTCAAAGAGATTTCCAGGGCGGGGGGTACCTTGGTACGCCCATGGGATAGCTCTACAACGTCTCTTTTTGAAGAGAATAAAGGTTGCACTACGCACATTCTAAGCTAATTCTGATAAAAGTGTTTCCGATCATAAATAGGTAGGGTAGTTTAGTTATGACGATAGGATGGGCGGAGGCGCGCCCGCTAAAGACATTCCGATTTCCGTGCTGTAACCGACCGATACCCATAAGAGAAAAGCCGCGAGCAGAAGCTAGAAATACAATAAACAATAGGTTACATAATAGGATTAAATTCACACACTACTATTTTTTTGTATCACTATGCCAAAGTAGGACGAAAATTGTGCCGAACGGGAATCGAACCGTGTCCTGTGCAATGTGATAATTCCGCTACTACACCATTGGGCGGTCATTAATAACAAAAGGGACTACTATTGTGTTGAATTTGTTTCTTAGTCAACTGATAATTAACTACTAACTATTGCCCTTGACCGGCAAAATTCAAGAGAAGTCTAACACGAACGAACAATAACTCAGTATTTAAAGAGATTATTAAGTCATAACACTTACCTTCCATCCGTTTGAGCTGATATAAACCAAATTACGTTTACTTACACCGAAAATATCAGGAAACCGCCCTTTTTATCATCACTGACAAACAGTTAAATCTATGACTGTGCTTTTGGTATTTATGAGACACGACTTATCAGATGATTTTCAGTAAATAAACAGTAAATACCTGTGACTATGAATAGTACTTTTATACCGGTATAAATATGATGTTTCGTGACAAACTCGTCATAGTCGGTGCAGTAATTATAACAAGATGAAGTCCCTTTTCGTTATTTTAGAGACGGTTACATTAGTGTTAGTGGTTAACGGAATTGACACAACGCGTGAGTGAATGTTTTTAATGTGTTTTCTAATTTTCTAAATGTTAAACTTATTTACCTAATTAATATAAAATCATGTAATTTGTAAATTTTTTCTATCACAACTGTAATAGTTATTACCTAATTTAACTTGAAGTCCTGAAATCAACTGAAAAATCGTTACATTTGAATGTTTAAATTCCGGTATATTTGAAATTCAGCTTGATCCCTTCAGTATTTTGGATCATGATAGAGCAAGTTACCAGTAACTTGGATCATACAGAATTTTGAACATTTCTTCTAGCAAAGAACACTTTAGAGGAGAATCTGTTAACTCTACTGACGAAATGGAGAGCCGGGGAAAGAGGACCATTTTCATTTCCACTCCCTTCGCTCGATGAAATTAACATACCAGCGGTAAACGGAAATTATGATGGATATGGAGTGAGGTAAGTAGAAGACACTTACTTACTGAGATGTTTTAAAAGTGGTATCAAATTGTTCAGCCAAATGTCTTAGAAATAGTATTTAGTTTAATTTTGGAAAGGTAGTAGGGAGATTTTGTTGCAATTTTAGCTCTACTTAAGTTTATAGTTCAATCAAACACGCATTCGGCATAGAGATAACGTGCAATTTTAATCTTGTTTGCTAACGAATGTCATAATCATATTGTCATTGTTGAAATGATCCAGCCAGACACACAGTCACTATTAATTTATGCAAATCAAAGACAGACACACAACAACAACCTATACTTGTACTTCCCTTGATTATTTACCCTACTTTATTGTATTTTATTGTAATGACTTACTTACCTACTATTTACTTATTCGAATGTAAATGATATAGCTATCAGTCAGTTAGACTTAGAGAAATTCAACTCTTGCCTATATCAGCTATGCTGACGACACCACCTATATAAGAAAGTAGGTACTTACTTCTTTTAGTTTTTTTCATACGCATGGTTTTATTTTTATATTAATTTATCAACTAAGTACAATTATTAAAAAAAAACACGTAAAGAAGTAAAAGTTGGTAACAAAATAATTATCGGCCAAGATGAAAAATCATTTAGGTATCGACTGAAAGATAATACATTATGATAGGAAACACCTGCAGTGATTGTTTTTTATTTTATTTTTAGAGGCATACCTATAAGTATTAGGTTAAACAAAATATTTATAAGGTTTAGGATGCTGCACCTGCCTAGTTCTAAATGACTCGTTCTTTTTAGAATATCATACGAAACGACTCAGCTCAAGCTGGTTGGTTTGAAGAATTTCTCTGTCGAGGCGCTGGATGCATCTGAAGCCAGCCTGAAGGCCTCCGGGACCATCACTATACCGATCCTTACTCTTAGTGCAGGTATTGGACTCTTCTCTTAACGTACACTAGGTCGTCAATCAAATAATCAAAGTACAGTCATCAGCAGCCCCCCTAGACAAAACGCACTTTTTGTTCGAATCGAAAATCGAATCCGTCAAAACTCCATACAAAAAAGGGGCTTTTCGACCACTTTTCGACTGGTTTTGCGATTATAATTTGCACTTTGTCTAGACCCACAGCTAATCAATATTTTTATTTTTATTTGTCGCAAAACAGAACAGCATCTATTAAAACCGTGCAAGGTTAAGACACCACAGTGTTTTGTTTTACTTTGAGGTGTCTCTACTCCTACAATATTTTCAATTTTATTTTGATGACAATAGGTAGGCCAGCCAGCTGCCAGACACGTCAGACTCAGATTTTACCAGATTT